GTTGAACTGGTGCTGACATTGATATATCTTGTTCATCTTTTGTTTCACCTGTTGCACGACGAATTTCATCATCAACAATTGGTAAATCACCTAATGATTGTCGTATGAATGTCATTACATTTTGTATATCTTCAATTGATGAACAATATTCGCCTAATAACCATAATGTAGCACGAAGAACTTTAACAGATTTTATTTGTCCACATATATCAAGTAAACGTTGAACAATAAGATCTTTTAAGCTTGATAATTTTTGCATAACATCACGAATAAAAACAAGTACATCAAGTGCAGCTAATTCATTTTTATCGGCAAGAAATTCAATAAGAACTAAAAACAAAAAGAACATCAATAAATATTTAAATCTGATAAAAAGAACCTGCTAATGCAATCCTTGTGGGACTAAAATCAACAACGTCTGTCACAACTTGTGATGATTCCGAAGTAGTGACTCTCACAATCTATGATAGTTTCTGACTAGCATTTGTAACAGTCTCTAGACAGCGTTCGTCATTACCTGTGAGAATGAATCCGAATTTCTATTCCTATACTTTTCAGTACTCATTTTAAATTGTTTTTAACAAAAATAAGAAACTTACCTGGAATGATTGTATTTGCAACATCAGGAAATTTCATTGTACATTGATGTAATGTTCGAACTAATAATTGTTTATATTTTTCTACATCTTCCGAGTCTTGTTCATTATGTGTTTTTGAAACTTCTTTTTTTAAAACTAAAACCATTTCATTTATTGTTTTTGATGTAACTAAATCATAACTTAATTGTAAAGTTTTTTTTCGTACTTCAATATCTGGTGATGCTAATACACGAAGAATATCCATAACTAATTCTTGTAATATACGTTCATGTGCAGCTATATCTTTTAAAGCAATTAAACGATCAAGAACAATTAATTTAACATTATTATCACTTTCCTAGAAGAAGAAATCAAATAAATAAATCAAATCAGTATATTGATTATTTATTTTAAACAAAAAAGTATATACTAACTAGATGAATAATATAACTAAGATAAAAAAAAAGTAGATATGGGCAAGAGGATTCTGTTCGTGTCTCTAGATGAATGTCCTTGTCTTATTTTTCATGAAAGTCTAAAATTCGAAACGAAATTGTATACAGAATAATTGATGATAGACATGAATCTATTAGTATAGATCATTTTCTCAAGAATTAACACTTAATTTAACAAAATTGAAACAAACTGATCGAAAATTGTGGTTAATGAGAAAATTAACATACATTTACAAAGAATAAATATTTCCTAATCTCTTATCTTTTCAATTGAACTGACTGAAATTTATTTCGTAGGAATCAATAGTACAATAAGTCAATTCAAAAGATAACTAATGAGGGAACCATCCGAAGTAATTGATCACTTATGGACTCACATACAGTCCTAGGAGATGAACCGAACATGTGAACTAAAGAAATGTGGCCCACCTCATATTGAAAAAAAAATGAAGTAATTAAGTAGTAATTCACACATTATCACGATCTACCTATTTACTAACAATGCTGTTCAAACGTTAAAACTCTTAGTTAGACGAAATACCTAAAACGTTTCGAGTAGTAACTTGAAAATCACATCTGTACATTTTCTTTTGGTTACTTTCTACTGACATATATATATATATACATAATATGAAACTATGGACTCCAGTTTGGCTTATGCCAACTTTAACTCACTTCACACATTGAACATATAGAAACAAACTATAGATTAGAATTATTCCAAACAAGATCCTAAGAATATTCTCAAAATTAAAGTTAATACGATTACTTTCTTGAAATATTCCATACTAAAGACACTTAGTACATTTAGAAAACGGTCAGAAATAGTCGGAGGTGTTAAACATAGAATATTTCGAGAAGGAAGTAATCGTCTTGACTAAAACTTCGAAGATATTCTTCGGATGATGAGAAGTACCTAAAGAAAAAATTTCAAGTTGAAAATCTTTCTTTCTTTCAACTTGTTTGTCAATACCTCGTCCTATGAACAAAATTCAACAAAACTATCCAACTCTATAGAGAAGATCTATGCTTGCGAATCTTTTTTTTTAGGTCATTCCAGTCTATCTCAAAATCAAAAACTTTTTCTATAACTAATTAATTTCTATTTGTTTTCTGATTAGTTAAATTTTAAAATTGAATGCACTCATAATTAATTACCTTGATAATCAAATCAATATAACAAGCACTTGCTGCTCGAACAGCAGTTGGTGCACTTGATAATGTAATTAATGTTCCAGCTGCTTCATAACGTACAGCTTGTGATGATGAATTTAATAAATTATAAATACATCGAATAAATCTTGCTCGTTCACTTGGATTACTATGACAAACTTTATAAATAAGTTCAACAATAACTAATTGTAAAATATCACCAAATGAATTAACTTGATCAATAACATTTGATAAATAATTTAATGCACGATCTTGATCAACATGTATAAGCATCATAAAAGCATTACGACGACATGACATATCTTGTTCAACATCCAAAAATTTACCAATTAATTCAGGTGCATCAGGAATAAGAAAATCAAAATTTTTATAAATTGTAAATATAGCTAAAACAGCATTACGACGAACATATGAATGACGATATTCAATACAAGCACGTATTGATGGCATTAATGGTTCAAGTAATTCAGGTTCTTTAAGTTTACATAAAAACCGAAGTGTTGAACCACGAATAAATTCATTTGGATGTTGAAGATCTTTTCTAAAAACAACATGAAACAATTAAAAACACTACGAATATTAATCTTTGTAGACTTCTTCTATCTAATATCATGTAGATAGGTGACGCTACCTCGGCCGCATTTTACGGCTGTTGTGAGAAAGGTAACACTACGTATCGACATATCAAGAGTGCACTGTAGAATCTGATAATCCATACACTATTAGATATTGACAGTCTACATATATTTCGTGCTATAGTCAAAACTTTATAGTCTTGTTTAATCTAGAACAAATAACTTTACCGATAAGCGTCGCAAACAAGAATCATTTCTTGAAGAAGTTTTCCATCGGCTGTATGTTTTGGTACAATTTCCCAAAAAATGAGTAATAATTTTTTTATTGTATGATTTTGTGATGGCATAACATAACGAATTATAATCATTAATAATGATGGAAATTTTTCACCATTAAGCATCATAACAATTAATTTTCTCAATGCATCAGCTTTTGCCTAATTGAATAAATTTCGATATAATTGAAAATAAAAAGCAAAAATATGAAAACAAACCTTATCATTGCCTTTTTCAAGATCTTCACGTAACTGCATTTCACTTGGTGGTTCCAGATCTTGACTGGTATTTATTAATGTGTAACAAGGTTGTTCGGCAGTCGACATGTTTCTGTTTTATTTTTATATCTAAAAATGTAGGTTGATTTGATACTATTAAATTAAGAAGTTTTCGTTCGATAAAAGTAAAATCAACTGAATAGTCCAAACTCATTTTACCGAAATAAAATTTAGACACGTTCGTTATCTTTTGATCAAATTGACAGATACAGTGGGAGATATATGTTTAGAGCAGTTCCATTTTTAAGTTTTCTTCTTGACAGTAATAGTTAGCAAGAATCTGAAAAGAATATTTGTGTAGTTCAAATAAGTCTCTATTAGAATTGATAGACCCGAATATTACAACGAAATGTTTGAATGAAGGTCTGCGGAAAACCTGGACTTCCAAAACTAGCTTTTTAGTTTCCATTTGCGACTTTTGGAAAAAGTTTTTATTTGATCGAGCAAATAATTCCGAGCAAGATGAGACGTATCCAATCTCTGTATGACCTTTCTTCATTGAACTGCTATTCATTTTACATAAGACTCCAAAGCATCAAGCATGACAAAAAACGTTGAAGCTTTCAATAAAATAAGAAGAGAAAAATGCTTCTTGGAGCTTCCCTAAGCTGGATGCAGTTTGATAAAGGAAGGCCACAGAGAGATCAAAGATATTTCATCTTGTTCAGAATCAGTTGCTCTATCGAATAAAATCTTTTTCTAAAGACTTCGAATAGGAGCCAGAAAACTACTTTTGAGAGGTCTTGATTTTCCAAAAATTTCCATTCAAGCAGTTTGCTGAAGTCTTTGAACCTAACAATCCTAATAGAGAATCTTTTCAGCCATACAAACGTTTTCTCAGAAATCTTACTAACTATTACCATCGAGAAGAAAACTTCTAAAAGAAAAAAGGCGGCAAAAATTTATTAGAATAATTTTATGAACTGTAATAAAAACCAATTGTATCATTCAAACTCTGTCACAAGAATATCTCCCTTAACCTACGGATAATTATTTTCTGTCAAATAAAAAACGAAATCTATTGATTTTCGTAGATTATTAACAGATGCGTCAGAATAAATATCCATCTAACAAGAGAACTCGTTCAACTGATAATCTTCAGACGAACTTATATTTTGCTGACTGCTAGGATCCATTATGAAGATAAAACTCTTAAGAGAATTTGTGCCATTAGAGGTTTCTTGTTGAATTATAATCGTTTTACTGAGTTTTCAGCCTTACGAAGAAAATTCAACCATAGATTTTCTATTCTGAAATTCCTCAGAGAAAAAGATTTCATCATTCCAATAAGATGCTGAAAGTTTCAGCAAAAATGGATACTTCTATCTCAAGATAACAGAATTGTAAAAACTGTTGGTTTCTACCAAAATATTCGAACAAATTCATTATTTTTTAAGTATACGATATATCGAGAAGAAATCATTCGGTTTCACTATAACTTGCATGATATAATAAGTTTCGTAAAACCTATTAGTGAGTAAAATTTCAGACTAAAGTTCCTTGATTCAGTTTTCTTTGTAGAATCTTGGAATAGGCTGAAGATTCAGTAAAATGATCGATTGGATAGATTTGAATGATTGTTTAAAAAAGAAATTCATAACATAAATTAAACGTTTTATTTGTTGGTTAACAATCCATAATAAATGTAAATAAGACTTAATTTACTTATTTTGAAATTTCATCATATGGATTTTCAAATTTATATTTTTGTCTTACTTCATTAAAAATGCGTTTTGTATCAATAGGACTATTTGTATCCCACGTTTTTATCCAACGTGTTTTATATCTTGGTTCTCTTAGTATATCATATTGTGATGGTGCATGACTTTTTCCTGGTCCATGTTGTTCCATTACCAAATGTGTACGTAAACGTTGATCAATACGACGTGAATAAAGACCAGCTTCTTTCAATACAAATGGCTAAATAATAAAAAAATAGAAAACAAAAAGAAAGTTGTATAAGTTGCATACATGTCTATGTGGTCCCCAAATACGAAACCAATAGTTACGTGAAACAGGCATTGATAAATGAAGATCTAAAATAAGATAAAGTCACTCATTTGATGAATTGTAAAAAAAAACAGTTGTTGGTCGGGCAAAAAACAACAATCAATATATTAATAACATGCCATTGACGTGGATCGTTTGCACAAACCAATGCAAGAGAATCACGGATGACGGCAGATGTCACTGATTGACGAGCAAATGATTCTAAACGATCATTTGAGAAAAAAAAGTTCGGGTCAAAAAATTTAAATTTAATCGGGCCCGGATCGGGTTCCGGGTCTGGAAATTTTCTATAAAGCGGGTCCGGAGCGGGTCCGGGTCTAAAGCAATTTTTGATGCATATGAAAATATTTTTGGAAGTTTTACTGATCTTCAGTTTTCTCTGAAAAGGTACTTGCTTTTGATTGCTAGTGTTAAAAATAAGTTGTTTGTGTTCAATAGAACACGTTGCTTTGGTCTCAGGCATAGACGAGATCGGGTTCGGGTAGGGTCCGGGTTCGAAAATTTTCCTTTAACCGGATCCGGGTCCAAAAAGGTTGTACCCGACGGGCTCTACTCGGCAGGTAGCTTGTACAGTCACAGTACGGCTTTTACACTTTTTTGTGTGTGAAAAGTATACTATTTAGTTTCTTCCATGAACAGCAACAAAGAAAGAAGAGACCATTTCAAACTCCCCAAAGAAGTAAACGATTCAGGATTCCCTTGTCGTCTTTGTGCCTCTTACATCTGGTCAATCACAATGAGTGTACATTTTCTCGTTGCTGATGATCCTGAAAATGGAACACAGTGTGGGCGCCAAATGTCATACTTGTGAATATATACATGACTGTGTTTTTTTCATCATGATAATACAAGTTCACCTTTTTTGATAATTCATTTTCTTCAGCATGTATTCAGTTACATCGTCGTACGGTTCATCATCATCATCTATAGATAAGTTTTCATTAAAAACAAATTCTTTTAGTAAAACAATATCGCTTTATACTTCTGTAACCTGTTCTCATGTACAATAAATTTCTCTGGTTTTCATTCCTATGCTTTTATAGAAATTAGTAGTTTGAAAAAGTAAAAATATTTTGAAACGTCGATATCTCTTTAAATATCGGGTCGGATTTGCGTATGACCTCTTATCTGGATTCGATTCGAAATTTTTTTTCATGCTCGGCCTCACAATCGACTTGGCGAGTTTGCACCCGAGTCCATGCCTGTGATCGGAAGAGGTGCCGGATATCCGATTCGATTGCATCCCATTAGGCCAGTCATTGGTCACCCATCCATGAAAAGAATTCAAATTTAAAAGTGAAGACAGCTGAGTCTACCATTGAAAAGAGAACAGTCAATGGTATATAAAGCTACAAATCAAGATAATGTGTTCAAAAACAAAAACCTATCTCCATATCTGATGAAATTCCTTAGCGAAACTTGCTTATAATGTATTTTACCTGCTTATATTACTAATTTTCGCAATAAAAGCGATGTCTACAAATAAAACTTAACAAGCTTCATCGAATCATCCATTTTGAGCGTCATTTGGTTTAATATTCGCGTTCAGTTTCTAGAAATACTATGTTACGGAATTTTATTAGTATTTAAATTTTGCAGTGTTTTTAGGCTATTAAACATTTTACATTGTTGTTTTTTCATTGGTATGCACATATTTGAAATTAGCATAGAAATCTGAATGAAATGAAGTATTTCGTTAATCAAAATTTCAACTTTTATTTTTCTCGAAAATTTGTCGGATTGAAAAAGTTCACAGAGGTTTTTTCGCTGGATTCTAATGAAAAATATGTCACTTCATGTAAAATCCGATACTGGTTACGAATATCTGCTTCCATTTGACTTTTTTGCTTTCATTCTGATATTAACTGCAATTTTCGGAAAAGAGATGAAATTCCTTAACGAACACCATTTTTAGTTTGTTATTCGATGCAGATATGCTTGTAAAGAAATGATCCGATATTCTGAAAGCTTGTTAAAAAGTGAACAATTTTTATATAGAAAGTTTATTTGTATGTCGCTTCGTTTTTCGTGGTACAATGGTAAACTCTCAAAGTTACTAAAAAAAATACAGAAACAGCCGATATTTTCTAAATTTATTGCGTCATCAATGTTTATAGAATTTTTTCTTATAACATAATTACAAAAAACAGACGATCGGATTATTGATTAATATCTGTTACAATATTTTGATAAGTCTCTCTTTTTTGATTTATACGAAAAAAAACATAATATAAGTATCTATTTGATTATTTTTTTTCGTCACGCTCGACATTTGTATTAAGAATAATAATGCAGAGAAAGTGACAGATTAATGAAAAGTTTATGCTTTTCTTTAATATACGAAATCATGCATTTGCTTCCTGCTATGTGAATTTGAGATTGTAGCTTACGCAAAAAATGAACTATTAACGATTTTTTTTTGGTTGATTCCTTTATGATGTTACTATTACTATGAAATCTATTATAAGAGCATTTTAAATATAACAGTTTTTAAATGGTTAAAATATTATTTGGTGCATAGCGTAAAACAAATTAAATCTGGCAATTATTCTTTTTGTCAAATTATTTTTCTCATTATATTTTTATAACATTTACAACTTCTTAAGTGTATAGTTGAAGAGATTCAAAACATTAACCTAACATAAGTCAACAATTATTTAAATATTTATTTTCCTTGATGAGCTTAGTCATCAGTATCATGAAAATGATAAGACTTTTATTAGAATGCGTTTTTTGTTTGAGATATGTTACGTTGCAAATTTAGCACAAAATTGATAAGATAAGCTACATTTATATACCTACGCAAATCAACAAAATATGCACTATTTCACATCTCTTCATATTTCGTAATAATATGAACTTTCTTAGCGAACGCTTAACACTCATAATTATTGTCGCAGTCACGAGTGTATCCACTCTCTTTTGTCTTATTGGTTTAGCAACACCGGGATGGAGTTATGGTAGCATATTTTCTTATGGGTATTCATCGACTGCTGCTTTATCTATAATTTCTTTACTTCTACTTATTGGCTGCATTGCTATAGCGATTTTTCTTCTGACAGGTATCGTACAAAACGAACATCTTCCGATTGCATTGCTTTCATTATTAATTGTCACTTCACTTTTCTTACTCGGAACATTTACATCCGTTTACTCTGGAACATTATTTTATTCATACAATTTAATGGTAACTGCATTTACATTTACATATCTATCGTCCATGCTTGCGGTATATTGGGTGTTTGGTTTAAAATCTACAGGTCAAAACACTCCGACATCTACAATGCAATCGTCACAACCGACCAACATCTAAAATAGATTGTTAAAGATATTCAAGCAAAGCAATGAAATTTCTTTTTTTTTTTTTAAAAAATTTAATAAAGCTAGCCAAACAATATTTTATTACAAGAAACTGTTTTCTTGTTCTTTTAAATTAGAATAAGATATATTAAATTGCATCATTATAGCTTTTTTTAATGATTTTGATCTAGTAAATAATTCTTTCAATGTAAAATGATTAGCCTTGTGAATCTTTCAATGGTCTTGAATTCATTCAGAATGTATGCATATTATCATTCATATGAATTTTTTGTTGAGTTTTGCTGAAATCAAAGAAATTCCATTTGTTATAAGAACCTTATAATAGCTACTCAAAAAATAGATGAAAATGATCAAATCACTAGTGATTCTTTCTTAGTTTTATTCATATTGATATGCAAATAAATATCTCTTTACGCACTTTAAGGCTATTCTTCCCCTTTCCTGTCGCTCTTATGTGACACAAAATTTTTGGTTTCTTGTGGGTATTATACAGTCCGAAGTAATATCTATCTACTGACGAGGAAAATGTCCAAGTGATAATCACCATTTGAGTTCATATTGCACCTACAGGCAGATCTGAATGAGAGTAGCAAAATCCTAAAATGGTTTCGTTCCCACTAACCTTCGGCTCGGAGCTATGACCTATTTATCGGATTTTTGACCCATTTTTAGATACTCCTAGAAGATCGAATAACGGAATTGTGATTTAAAATGCTGACTATAGATAGATCGTATAACTCTTAAAATATTCCAAAAGTTTCAGCTGAAAAGAATGTTTCTTCATGAAGATACTGAATTTCCAAAAATAGTTCTTTGCCACAGACATGGGTCAAAAATCGAGTTCACTTAAAAATTTAATAACTCGACGAAGATATATTCTTTTCAACCGAAACTTTCAGTATAATATAAGAGTTATTCAACCTATCTATAGGCAAAATTTTAGATCAGGATTCCGTTATCCGATCTTCCGCGAAGTATTTAAAAAAGGGAACATATTTTTTGGTCAGTAAAATAAATGAAATGGTCAGTAAAAAAATAGGTAAACGATCAGTGTTAATATTATATGGTCAGTACTAAAACGGTCAGTAATTAATTAAAAAATGATCAGTTTTTTATACATAAATATCAGTAAAAAATTCAAATTTGATCAGTAAAATACCAGACTTTATCAGTAAAAAAATAAGTTTTATTCCCATAAATATTATTTGATATAAGAGAATAAATTTAAATAAAGAAACACAATAAATAAAAAAAAACACCTTATTCAAATCAGTTTTACCAACAATTAATACAGGAAAACCTTGCCAGACTAATTTATATGTTGCAACAGCATTTATACGCGATGATATTGATGCAATATTGAGCAAACGTACTGATGATATAAATACACGAAATTTATTGCCACCATCCTCCTCTATATCTTCATCATCATCATATTCTTCTTTATCATAAATTATTTTGTATGATACAACAAAAGCTTTATTTTCATCAATTGAAATATTTCCATTGTCTTCACAGCATTGTTCTAATTCACCTAAACTTATTTTATATGAACCATATTTCTTTTTTTTATAATGAATAAGATAATTATTCAATTGTATGTACGTTGGTGTCTTTATTACTCTTGCTTCAAGTACTCGAATAATTTGTTTGGGCTTTATAACATCATCATTATACAATTCTTCTATAACCTTTTTAACAGTTCCATCAATACCACGATCTTTGTGATCATGTTCAGCTTCAGTTTTGTAGCAACTTTGTCACTGTCTGCATGATATAGCAGACACATGCTGGCACTACACTGGGAACCACGACACTTCACTTTGTTGTATCGATAATAAGCTTTTCTTCCATTTTCTGTATAATTTGTATAATGTTTTGACCACTGATTTTCAATTAATGCTTCTACTTCAGTAGATTTATCAAACGTAGCTTCTTTAACCCAAAATTTATATTCTTTTCTTTTTTCATCTATATCATGGTTTTATTTTATAATCTCTTCGTTAGATGTTTCGCTTTCATATTGGGCAACTTGTATCATTTCCATCTGTTTTACTCGTTGACACTCAGCTGATTGTGAAATAAAGGGTAGAAACAAAGAGTACATATAGATATGTGTTGTAGCTGTCAGCTGGACGACATAGTAGAAGGACAGAAAGAAAGAAAAACAAAGTGAATTCTACTATTACACAATTCGATGTTTATACTTACCCTTTTATTTAATTTACTGATCCTTAAATGTATTAAGAAATCTATTTATTTTAATAACTGACCATTTAAATAGTTTACTGCTCATTCATTTAATTTATTGATCATTCACTTATTTTACTGATTTTATAATTATTTTTCTTACTGACCATTTCATTTATTCTACTGACCATTAAAATGATGGCCTTTAAAAAAAGATCGAATATCCACTAAACTAGTCATAACTTTTGACAATAAAAGTCTATACGGACAAACACTTTTAGACTTTTTCTATTCTCATTGAGATCTATTTGTAAGTTCAATAGGAGCTTAAACGGCAGGTTTCACACTTGAATTAGTTCCCTCATGAGTATATCTTAGGGTCCAAAAAATTGTTTTTAAATGTCAAAAAATGTGAGAAAAAATCAAATTAGCAAAAACTGTACATAGTTTCGCGCTTTTCTCAAACTAGCTTTTCTCATGAGAAAAGTGTAGAAACACTTTGATTTCTCCGACCTAGTTCATTCCATCGAACTAAAACTTTTTTTAATGCATATACCATACATTATTTGGGATGGGTACCTCTTTTTTTTTTCAAACAATATTCTTCTAGTGACTTTTAGGATGCCTACGATATTTTAGCTATTCTATTCGAAGGACAAAAAATAAAAAGACACATACCCTAAAGAGTGTTTTGTGTCTACAAAGAATTTCCAGCTCGATCGAATATAGTCCTTCCGATAAGGGGGGGACAAAAACTGGAGCCATTATGAACCCAGTATCTGACAGAAGACAGCATTCAGGAGCTTTGAGTCTATGATAATTTTTGCTTTGCTTGTCAAGATCTGCTTACCTGAGCAGTGGCTGGGCTCCGTAAGTTGTAAACTTCTGAAACTTTCAAAAGTACAGTTTTACTCACAAAACTCTTGAAAGAATGTTTCGATTTCAGTTTCGGTTTTGGTTCTCTAAACATTCACAGCTACACGGGTAAATCCAAGAAATCTGGAAAGCGATGGTGCATGGGAACAAAACAAAAATAAGTAAGAAACAAATCATACGAGAAATTCTACTTCTCTACTTTGTTCGCTTTTGAGAAGTTGACGATAACTCGTTCGATATCCATAAGGATCCTGGAACACACATGTATAATAGCTAATTTATTCAGACGGTTTTCACCTGTGATACTTTGAAGGTACGATTTCGTCAGTTTTTATATCGAAACAGTTTCGTTCACCTATGGCTATTGCCATCAGTAGCGTTGTATAAATTTTAAAACGAACTTTGACATTCTGAAAGACGCTATCGTTACGTCAAGCATAATCCAAAACATGAAGTACGTAGGTCTTTTTACTGAATCTCATATTTACTAATCATTGATAGAACGAGCATAAATGAACTATTGACATGATCGTTGGTTATTTCAGTGTTAAACTCTATAAATGCTCATCAGTTGTATTACAGGTATAGAAGTCATATCTAACAAGAGAAAGAATATGTGACGCAAGTAATAATACTATGTAGAGCATATATACATCAGTGAATTGCAACTTTTTGGTACGATTGGCATGAAAAACTGAAAATAGGCCTAAACGATTTCTGAGTAGTAGATTTTATTATACTCTATGCTTGTGTTAAGTGGCAAAAGTTTCTTAACACTTCACTGAATATTGAAAGCCGAAAATATCTGCTGAAAAATCGTCACTATATTCTCTAGTATAATGTAAATTTCTCCTGAAATGTACAAAATCAAGAATTGAAATTTTTATCACTAATAAGAATTTTTGTTTTACATCTACTGTGAAAACTTAAGCCAAATTGAACGTCTTATTAAAGAGTTATACAGCAGACAATCTTCCAAAGGGGAAAAAGAAGACTTCAATACTTCTTTGTGTTTCTTCATATTTCCCAAGACTTGTTGTACTTCTTCATACTTTCTCGTATTTCTTTGTACTTCTCCACCCCCCTTCATATTTCTCGACATGTATATGTGATACTATTTTGTTTTTAGGTATGTCCTTCACTTCAGAAATAAAAGAAAGCCATACTCAGTTTCCCCACATTATGTAATTTTGATTTAAAAAATAATAATTAACGCAAGTAGGACTGACAGTTGAAAACAAAGTACCAGTCCTCTTTTTGCGTGTTTTCTTGTGCACTAACATATTAAAAGTGCAAAAAAAATGCGGCTGTTCTCGTTCTCATAATAACGATCACAACACTATAGAAAACATGCGTAGAAAGAAAACTGATACGTATAATAGCTATGATTTAAAAAAGTCCTAATCATTGGATAATAGAAAAATCAGTAATGTAAGAATGACATATGAAATGAACTTAAATGATCTCTGATCGAGATTAAATAGAAAAAATTAGCCTGGATACTACTTATTCTCGTATGATTTTGTTTATTTTTGCTATTGAATAAATATATTTAGCTAACAAAAGCTATCTCATCTTACTGTAAAACTTAATATACTTCTCGGTGCTTCTGTACGTCTTCGTACTACAAAAATACAGAAGTCTGCTTTTTCCTCCTTGTAATCTTTAAATCGTTAGTCTACAAAGTGAATATATTGCCCTTTTTTTCAGAAAGGCTTGCTACGTTTTTTCCCATAACACATTTGGGTAAGAGAGAAGAGTTTTTCACCAGTTTGTTCCTGTAAGTCTTCTCTTTCTTTTCATGTAGTATGCATACAGCCGGCTCTATCACAGATAGAACTAGAATGAAGTTTGTGTCACTCTATACGAAACCACATAAGTATCTGTCAAACATTGTGTACGTCGGACGAACGAACGAATAAGACATGATATTTAAATCAGTCATATAGTTTGATAAAACATCGAACGCTGTACAAAATAGACTAATTAAATCATCTTTCTCTTGCTTTTTCATAGCCAAAAAAATTCCCTTTTCTTTACATATGTCAACAAAAACAATTGACTTTTTCTCATAATGTATCTTTCATAACTCAGCAACACTATGAGTTAAAGAGCTGAGATTGAATCTGGCAATGGAGTGTTGAAAAAGGAATAGCAGATAAAAAGAATTATTCATATCAGTCAAGAGAAACATCAGTTATTAGCCGAATACAATGAAAATCTCAATTGAACCAAAAAGTTGCACTTAATTCATATATATGCATTGTTGTCCTTCTTCAGAGTCGTCCATTTCAAAACACAAGTATTGTAAACTTAAAAATAGTGAGCAATGCACACTATATGTTTCTATGAATCTCATAGAAATACAACAATACTTAGAGTATAGCATACATCAATTGCAAAGGGAGAGGCGGTTGTGTCACCACTACCTCCGCCTGGATCCTTCACTGCACAGCCACATCCATATTTGAACGTATAAGAAAAGGTAGTACCGTATATGTGTTATATCTAGTGACAAGTCTGAATGTAAGACACCACTGTACTTGGTTAAAATTTGCGGATAAGCAAAACGCAATGATATCAACTTTGTTTGAAAAGCTAGAGTTGATTCATTACCCGAATTTACCAAGCTTTTAAGTTTCGTGAGTGAAGTTATACTTTTGAGTTCCATTAGTTGAGAATGTGTGGAATATGGACATATCTCAGATGTCCTAAAAATTTCAAATTTTTTTGATGAGCTGTTCTTCAGAGATCCTGGAAAGCGGGAGATTACCTTAATTTAAGAGTTATTCTCTCGAGAAATAAAACAAATATTGACTATTACAATGAAAGACCGTGAATATAATTGATCAACAATAACTCTCAGTATTGCTCTATAAATGGAATCAGTTAAAATAAATAGATAAAACTTTGAAGTTTTCAATTAAAAGCATAAAGCATAGTTCATTCTCCGTGCAAACATTGTGAGACAATAGACAATAGTGCTTGTCAGTCAATGCAACTAAGAATATAAATATGCATATATGTAACCGATCAACCATATCATTTTTATTTTCTTCACCCCTTATGACACATATACGAACATGACAAATATTTCCGACCATTATATTCATTCAAACATTTTCTTTTTTTAGTATGCATAGATCATTCACCGAAATATACAAAAGAGATGAAAGTGACTCAACGATTCAAATTTATCACAATAATAAATTTTCATTAAATGATATTTTGAGTATATTATATCCACTTTTTGGTTCAACATATCCTTATGACGAAATGATTTCTACAATTTACACTGTTCATCATATTTTTTGTGCATATGATGGAAAAGAAGGTCGTTGTATTGCTTGCGCATTGGTTAATAATGTTAGCAACAATTCAGGCCTCTATATAATGTTGTTCGGTGTACAAAACTTAAATCAAGGTCGTGGTATAGGTACACGTTTATTGGAAAATATCATTCAATGGGCACGTCAAACAGGATATAGATTTATATGTTTACATGTACATGTTGAGAATTATCAAGCAATGGGATTATATGAAAAAGTTGGTTTTCGAAAAACTGAATATATACCAAATTATTATGGTCATCTACCAAAAAATCCACCACATGCTTTTCGAATGGATTTACCATTATGGTCATACCATGGTTCTTATTTAGAATTATAAATAAAATTGTGAAAAAAAAAAAACGTGGCTTCTAATAAACATAGAACAAATAAATTGATGATCTTTTTCTTTTTATTTATGATTATACAGAAAGAAAAATACCTGAATCAGGATCAAGGCACGAAGAAAAACAATTCTTCTCTTCATTGAATTATATTAGAAATAATAATAAAAAAGAAAACAACAAAGATAAGATATATTAACAGTAGAAAATGATTTATATGGACGGATTATGCATCGTTACATGTAAAGCCTGAGTATGGAATTATAGTTTAAATATAAATAACGGTAATTAAAGATAATTTTCATCTAATGATATATAATATTGTTTGTGCTTCATTTCTAATCATTAGAATCTGTCAAAAGGTCATATCTTCGTAAATATTCTTGAGTTTCAAAGGACAAACTTTTATCAACAATTTGAGATGTTTGTGGTAATACATTAAGTGTTTTTTGTGATTGTCGATCACATTCAATCGCAACTGCTAATTGATCATCTTCAAGATATTTCATTTCTAAACTATGAACTTCAATAGAAAGATTATTTTCAGACTTATGTGGAGATGTTGGAAGTTCAATTGGAGGTGAAGATGTACTAATAGATTGTGATTGTGGATAAACAGTGGTTGTACTACTTTGTTGATTAATAAATTGCATTTGAACACCATTAGAAATAAGACTTATACCAGTTGTTCTTGTCGATATGACATGTTGTTGTTGTTGTTGTTGAATGACATTAGCTAAATGAAACATATTTTCAGTTTGATGTTCAGTTTCATTATCATTTAATTTTAATAATGTTGCATCAGTTGAATTATATGTTGTCATTAATGAAGGTGTAGCTTTTTGTTGTTTTTGTTGTTGATTATCTATAAATTGAAAAATTGGTTTGAGAATATCGACAGGATTGAGATCTGTAGAAATTGATAAAGATGGAGGAGATTTTGACTGAATAGGTGTAGTTGATTTACGAAGAGATGAACAATCGATCATTGGCTCGCGTTGATGAGCAACTGATGATGGCAATGATGGTTGAACTTGAGTCAATGGTGTCTTAAACAATAAACAATTATGTTTAGCAATAATATATGATAGATTATTGAAAAGTAATTTAACAAAATGTTTGTTCATTTTTCAGTCTCTTCAAAAAAATCTGCAAACATTAGAGAACATCGAGTTTGAATCAAAATTTTGTATTGTTTCCAAATATAGGCTCAATATTTTTCTAGGTGTTATAATGTAGAAGTTATTAATCAACATTTTATAGGCGTGAAAATTAATTTTCGATAGAGAAAATTGACGTTTATTTACAGTAATGGTCTGCTTTGCTGCACACATTATATTACCGAGGTTTTTTTGCACAGAATTAAAGTTGGGACTGTTTTCTACAAGACAACTTCCGAATCAAGAGTTCGAGAACAAACATTTAGGAATAGTCGTTCATTTTGCAAGTTTGTTTTTTCATAAAAATTGATATGGCGTACGTTATCAAAGTGTTCACTGTAGATAAATGATTTGCAACAAATAAATCATTAGTTATACTATTTTCTAGAGAAATGTTTGCTCTTTTCTTTGCCGTATTTGAAATAATTTTCGCTTCTACTTTACTTAAGTTTTAGCGAGCTAAAGCTTGTTTCTCAAAGTTTTTTACGATTATCCCTTCTTTTCGATCACTTCTAGTTCTCCGCAAGAGTACAATCCGTCAGGCTCAAATTTTTACCACAGCTAGATTATCAAAAATGATGGGATCCATATTTCAGGAAAAAAGTTTTAAAAACAGGTCTTTAGCAGATTTTGAAGGGATCATCAAAAACTATCGAGCATGTTTAAGGGCTCGGTCTTTCTTTGTTCTATCGGACTGAAATTTTTCCGAAGGCAGCTGAAACAAAGTCTCAAAGGTGTTTTTAAGCTTTTCGAAAAACACCAATCTCGCTATGTTTAATTTAAAAAAATGCACAAACGACTAGTCGGGAAAATGATATTTGAGCTGGTGCTTTCCATGTTTTGTGAAACACCATCTAAAAGCAGTGTTGAAGTATATACAGTAGAAATTCGCACCCACTCTCATAGGCTGTGATAAACATTGTTGATATACAGTCATAGACCGCATTTCAATAGCGGCTCGTTACAATATATTAACTACTTCCTTATTGTATTTCAGAAGAATTAAATACTGGTGTGGTTGAAGAAATGTATCCCAGGATAGACAAAATAAAGCAATCTCCTCGTAATTAGCAACAGTAGCTGTATCGTGTTTCACATTTTCATCCTGCAAGGTTTGCGCTATACAGCTTTTTGTAGTTCAAAATCGACAGATTCATATTTGTCAAGAAACTTAAAAATATCTCTGAGACTTTGTCTCAGGTATCCACAAAATAGATTTCAGTTCGATCAGGCAAAGTGAGAGCGGAATCATGAGCAGGTCAGATGATTTTTGAAGATCCGTTAAAAAATTCCTAAAGACCTTCTTTAATCTGTTTGCCTCAAACATGAGTTCCATCATTTCCGATAGTCTAGATGTAATAAAAATTTGAGCCCGATAGGTTGTACTCTCATGAAGAAATAGAAGTGATCCATAAGACGAATGTTACCCTTACGAGACTGAAAAATGAATGAATACTTTGTCAAATTACTTTTCAATAGCTCGTTATATAGTAAATAAACTTACTGTATCAGTTGTATCAATGAATGATGTTTGTTGTTGACTATGTTCAATATGTGATGATGATGAATTATGCTGATTATTTTTCATCATCAATAATGATTCACCCATATGATCATTTAAATATGATGATAATGGTTCACTTTGTACAGCAACATCACGTTTAGTAGATTCTTTTATTGTTGTTAATGGTAAATGATTTTGTTGTTGATTTTGATTAGCTAAAAGTTGAACAACAAGTGCAGTTAATGATTGAATATGATTATCATATGACTGCATTCTTTCCATTAATTCTTCTTTCCATTGAATATCATTACTAATTGTTGATGATACTAGAGATGGACACTGTTTTGATCTAGAAGATGCACTTAATGAACGTATATTTCGTTTAGGAGTTTCTATTGTTGTCGTTGATAATAAATCCCATGAAGGTGATTGATTTATTGATTGTCTTGGTGGTAAACGAGGAACACCAAATAAACTTCCATTTGTATTAGTTGCTGAAACTGTACTTTGATGATGATTATCGTTATTATCTGGAAGTATTTCTGTAGAAAAAAAAGATATATCCGGTAGCAATCGAATATTATTAATTGATTGAATAGTTTGATTTGGAATAGGAAAAGAAATATTTTCTGAATGATTTTCTAATACAGGAAAACTTTTTGATTTATCATAAATACGTTTAAATTCAAAATCATATGGAATTTGTGCACTAGAATTTCCATCATATTGATTTAATATTGAACTCGACATGATAATATTTTTTGAGCATGTCCATAAATCATAATCAATAGTCATTGATGGTAATGAATTAGTTGTTATTAAAGAAACTTCATAAAAAATCCATTGATTATATGATGTTGATAAATAACATGCAAGTAAAAATGATTGTTGAGAATTGATTCCAGAACGAAGACGTTGTTTTAATGATGAATTCATACAATAACGAATACATGCTGCCCAAACAAATACACATTGAATATTGATAATATTCGATACCCAACTAAAATAGATAAGAATATTTATTTTTTATTATGAAAGATTGTTTATTTTTTTCTATTCTTACATTCCAATTAATGGTAATGAATATGCTTGTGGATCATTTTCAAGTATTAATAAAATTTTATTTTTTGTTGTTCGATCTAAACTACAATAACCAAAATATGATTGATTCATATGAACATTATTTTCTTTTGATGAACTAAGTTTTTTAAATAAAGCTGTTGGTAATATTTGAATATAATCAGAATTAATTGGTGTTAATGTAAAACTATTTTTTATTGTTATAAGATCAAATGATAAATCAATATTTAAAGATGTCGAATTCATTAAGGATATTTGACCACAAAGATATGAATATCGATGTAATTCAATTGCTAAGGAGGAATGACAATAATCGTCAATTTCCTATACATAACATTAATAAAAAAAAATTGTATTTTGAACGCAATACATAAAATAAATATCATGATAAAATTTCAATAGCACAATTTTGGTTTCTTTTTAACAATCAAAAAATTGATTATATCTACAAACTAGTTTACTCATAGAATTCATTCTTGTGCCCCATAGAGAGAATAGAAATGGTTGTCGCATGGATTAGGAACCTCCCACGGAATAAAGACGGATGAGGGAACCTCTTCAGATGTGAAATCGGTTTTCGACCGAGATGATGTTCATTTCGTGAGTGCTCGAGAGTATCAGAAAAGTCTAGAATGATATACTTCTCTGGACCTTCGTTCTCTAAGTTTTACTAGACTTTTTAAGAAAAGCAGTGTTCAAGTGAAAAATCAACTTTCAAGTTTCGACTTCAAAGTTTGCACAAATGAAGTATTTTTAAAGTCTTTCAATGCCATTGTTCAAGCAATGAACAACATTTCTTTGAAATTTTATATTTAATATGAGCAGCGTGTACTGTTGGTATTTTCATCGAAACTTTTTTAAGAATATTTAGAGCCATTTTTGGTTCAGACTTGTGCTTCAACGGAGATGGCAAAGACGTATTTTAGTCATCCCCGTATGAGAGTACGAGTGAATGTCAAAATTTGATTGAGAACTGTTGTCAAATTAACCTTTATAGTAACACTAGGAGTCACTCTCAACTTGATTTCGACATAGAAAATCGAAATAACTTCAGGATTGTAAAAGAGTTTTATCTATCCTCCTCTTTTTTTTCAGAATACAGATGATGTTCCAAAAATCCATCAGGCTTATTACTTAAATAACCTCATTAGAGTGAGAATCCTTATATAGATTTGTGTGACGAAATTTCTTCTATAACATTTTGCGTTCGAAAGTGATTGAAATATGCTCGTACGCAAAGGGCTAAAATTCCCGAAATGCTGATAAAAGATGAAGGTGTAAATGAAAAAAAGTCGTGCAATGAACGCATCATTCGGATACTCTAATAACATAAAACTACAAAAGTATAGAAGTCTGTATTTAGTCCGTCGGTAACTGTCGAAGTTCTCAGACAGTTTGAAAACTTCAATCTATCGAATTTAGTACACTTCTGTGCTTGTAAGTGAACTAAACCATAGCTACAAGATTAAAAAATATTGATCGAAACAAAAGCTGACTGTCAAACTTTTGACTTGCAAAAAAAAAAATAGAAGTCCAGTGCGGTATTATTCTGTGAGAAAGTTTAATAATAGAAAAGCAACGATAGTTATATCAGTTAATTTGCTTACTTTAATACCATCCTGTATAAAATTATTAATTGTTGTTGAATTTTTATTATTATTACATTGAATAGGTATAAGAAATTCTCCAGTCAATGGTTGATGATTATGAAATTCATTTGTTGTTGAATCTTTTAATATTAAACGATCAATAACATATGTTAAACGTTGTGATTCATCATCTGTTATTAATGTTCCAATAAATTTTATTTTTGAACTATATGTTGAATTATTTTGTAAACGAACAGCTGAACGTAACACTTTATCTTCAAGTATTAATTGTGGTGATAGTTGTTCATGTTGATAAAAACGAAGATCGAATGATCGACCGATAGGTGTTGAAACCCAGAACGATGAACAAATTGTAGTTGATGTCGTCTGAGGAATCATTGCTTTTTTTTTTTCATTCAATCACATCTTCAAATAAAAATAAACAAGACAACATTATTTAAATTTTTAAGAACTTTTTTTCAATAACATGAATAGAAATAAATAAATAACAATCAAAAAATAAATTATTAGACTGTGGTTTACATTAATAAAGTTTATTGATTAATAATGTCGAGTTTTTATTTGATGATAGAAGACTTATACTTTAAGTGTGTAACAGCGTTGTTCACTTTTTTTTTATGTGAATATGAACTTAATTCAATAAACTATTTTCTTGTATTTCTTTAATTTGTTCCTTATGTCAGACTCAAACGTTCAAAGTTTATCAATTTTTATTACATAAAGAGTACCCTTGCCAATGGCATATTGGAAGTTAAATTTGCTCTTGGATTACTTTTTGTTAAACAGACGAAATGATTTTATCGTTTTTACAGGCGTTTGATTTTCGGTTTTTATTCCTCTGCGAAATTCGTTCTCAAAAAAAAAAATTGTGTGGTACAAAATTTGTAGCTCGAACATTGTTCTTTCCAATAAAAAGACAATGTGACTGCATTAGCAGTCAGTCATATGGCCCAATGGATCGATTTCTTTTGCAATTCATGTTATCTGTTACATTTCATCAGAGAAAATAATATTAGTTTTTTTTTTGTTTTGGAGAAAAATTCATCGTAGCAAAATTTGGGTTTTTCTTTTCAATCGATTGAGCACATACCTGTCGTTCACAATCTCAGTGACTTATTTAATTTTTCTTTCTCATTTCGCTGAAAAATATATTTTTTGTCAGTAAATTTTCTTCAGAATTTCAAAAAATCGAAATAAATTCTTACGATTTATCTGATGAAACGTGAGTCAAAGTAGATTCTTAATTTTTCAAACTACCCGAAGTATCACATTCCTGTTTTTATTTAATGTCCACATTGCTCTCCAATGTTGATTTCAGTAAAGATATAATCATTGTGAAACAATACCGAAAAATCAAGTATCGATCATTAGATGAATAAGAGAAGAAAATGCAGGTGTGGATATTAAAAAAATTCGCAACTAAATCGAAGATAGACAAACTAAAATACAGTATATTTTCTCTCAATATTTATATTAAGTTTCATAAGATTCTATTCAATATTTTCATAAAATGTACTTAAATCATAGGATTCGAAATGGACTGTTCAACATGATGAGATTTTCTCTCAAATCAGGCTAATCTAGCTGAGTATTTTTATCATTTTTTTTTTTCATGAAATTATACGACTGTCATAAGCAATAGAAATTATTTAAAAAGTTTCATAATAGAACTAGTGATATCTCTCATTCACATGCAACGAACTATAGTGCATTAACTACGTTAATTAGTTTGAGAATGAGATTGACAGAAAATATGTGTGGAAAATAAATCATCGTCAATAACGAGCAGCCAATAATTAAAATTAATCTAACTTTTCAACTTTGATTAACGGGTGAATTCATGGGAAGTGTATCACTTTTTTGGAAAAAAGAACATTCACATGGCTGTATATGAAAATAAATAATTGTTGGTACCTTAAGTTTGAAGATTCAGTTGATTGATTAGGAATAGCTGAACCTTCAAATTCTAGATGTCCAAGTTTTTGCTTCATTTCCGCAAACAGACCATGTTCAACTGTATAATATCTCTCTCGATGGTTGAAGTCGATATTCTTTCATCCAGAAATATGATACACTTTCCATGGGTTCACTCTATTGAAAAGTCAGTGGCATGAAACATCGAATTATACATAATAATCATTACTGAGTTTGAATATCTTTGGACATCTCTTCTTTGTTTGCTTGGCTTAACAAGCGATTCAACTTATTCCACATTGATTGTTTTTTTTTTCGGTTTCTACAATCTGACCTAATCAAATCTATTGTAATATTGGTAATTTTTTACTAAGAAAATTGATTATCACTGAAGTGATCTCAAAGCTCGATTCGGACAAAATCTTTGCCAATGAAGTATCCTTAGGGTTCAGTCAGGCATAGTAAATGATTACCGAGCCCGACCGATCCATGAAAAAAGTGACTTCTGATATACACCCGCAGCCTAGAAATCGTAAATTCAAGGGACTCAAGTAGATCAAATGGGATTCAATGTTTTAAGCACTCACATCAGCATTGTATGTGCTAGTATTTTTAACCCTGCATTGAGATTTTGTGTAACAGTCTTTCAATCCACCTCATTATAGAATGCTTCAAACTCCTAATATTTCGAGACAAGCAAGTGTAATTTACTATTTGGTACTCCTGAATTGGTATTGCATAGGTCAATCTTTGTAACTCTTTCAATGGATTTGCGTGTCCCAATGTTTCGAGCCATTCTCGCTATAGAATATCTTGAATTCTATCTCACTTGTTATTCAATTCCCAATTTCTGGACGGTGATATCTATTATAGAAAAATACTACTATTTATTTTGTTTTTACTTCCAATAAACAATTTTATTTTTATTGAATATGCATCATTCGATACCTACTTGAATTAAAATTAATATACTCAATACTGTACTTGATCTAAAGTAAAATTCATTTAGTCTAATTCGATGATTATCAAACAAGTTTATTTAATGATAAAAACTTCGCACAATCATTCTAGTTAATTAATAAAATGTTATTTATTAGAAATTTAACTAACATACCACAAGAAAATTTGTTAAATATTATAATATTAATTGTTTTGTTAATGTCTATAATATTAATAAGTAAAAACTTATAAAAATAACATAAAATAAATGTGAATGATTAATAACTTTATTTAAACGTTTTATTTAAATTAAAAAAATAAAATAAAATAAATAAATCAAAATATATTTATTAAAATATCATTACTTCAATATTCGAATTTCGATTTCATTAATATAAATAAGAATATTATTTATCTGCAAAAAAATCAAGAGTGTTCATAACCATTTATTTATTTCAATAAACAAAGGCACTAACAAACACAAGCAAAAAATATGTTCTCCTGAGTTATAACAAAGAAACAAAATATATTGAGAAAATAGAAAATATTTTTCTTATTTATTGTGCATCTTATTGAATAAATTTATTGTTTTTTTTTAGTTTTGAACATCATATTGTTGTATTTGATTGGTGAGAAAGACAATTTTCTTTTTTTAAATTAGCAAATGAAACATATCCATGTGGGATATTCTATAGATAATAAATAATTGAAATCTTTAATGAACATATTTTATAACTTACATTGTTCATCAATGAAGATATATTTGGTTGATCAAAATGGTTAGAAGAAGGTGCATACGGTAATGTATAACGATAATTATTTTCTCGATAAAAATTCGTAGTTATATTGTCCAATAAACTTTCTGCACAATGAAGAATAAGAGAACATAGTAGACATTATATTATTAATAATTTGGAAAAAATTTTTATAGACTGATTAAATTTATTTATTTAGAAGAATTCCTTGGTTATTTTTTTTTTTTAGTTTATCTCGCTCATTTAATATGTTATCATTAATAAAAATACATTAGTCACAAGAAGTTTCATTACTGGGTAAAAAAAAAAAAATACAAAAAATTTCAATATTTTTGTCTAATATTTTGACTCAACATAGAACTTAGTAAACTCTGATTGCAAGCAGCAACTCAAAGTCGATAAACCTTAATGCAAATGGTATATGATGAAAATACTATTTTTTTCTCTAAGACCCAAACATTAATTTTTTGACATGTTTTTGGTTTTCTACTATTTAAATGCGTTAATCTCCATTTTCTTACTAACAGATAAAGATCTGCATGTCTATATTGTGTCACAGACAGAGTACTTCAATACGTTGTAACTGTGAGATGCGAGAAAATCTTCATTGTCTGGGACGGTCTCAATATGAGTCTCTTCTCTATTGATGGTTGTGATTGTAAAATTTTGAGAGAGAATTTGATTAGAGCAGGGTACGCAATGGAGAAAATTTCAAGGCAAATAGCTACACTTAACCAGAGATATCGATCACTTTTCAACAATTCTCATACGAAGATTAACCAAAGGAAACTTAATAAATCGGACAAATTAAAACCGATTGACAAGGACTTTTTTATGTGTGATACAGACAGCACTGAGCTGTTGGATGAGAAATCTAATGTATACGCAATTTTCACACCAGAATCTGACTAAGTCTGAGATAGACCTGACGAGCTTCAGTCTAGCGTCATGGGATTTATTTTCTATGTTGAGCTATTCTCATCTGAAAAAAATCTATGTTGATCTTTAGCTACTTTGCATGAAGACTAATCAAGTTCTGATTAGTTCGTGCAATCAGAGTTCAACATACTCTATTTATAGTCATACTATGAGATTAAAGAATTCAAGTTTAGGTACTTTTTATCTGATAGTGATTTCTTTTACAATTACTGCCTATGTCGATCTATTGAATTTTCATGCTAAAAAAATCTACTTTTTTTTTTTATCGATTTCTTAAATTTAAAACCACTAATTAATGTCTAAAAGTAATTATGGAATTGAATCGAATGAAAATTTAAGTATTGTTCGCGAACAAATTCGCATAAAATAATGATCGGAACAGAAATGGAACTGATCTAATATCTGAACTAACACGAGATTAGATGACAGTTGATAGTGTTTCCTTTTTTAAATAGTCTTATTTAATGTAGTCGAGTTTCAGCAAAATTTTATCACACACTTTCGATGAGGTACTACGAAAATCAATAGAAGTTTTGAATAAGTTTCTATGATAGGAGCAAGAAGCAAATAAAATAGATCAATCTATCTGTTACCAGCAGATCGGTTGGTCTAAAATTCCGCAACCGGCATTGGTTGTATCTCTAGCTCTCAGTCTTTCCTCAAGTAATTTCTAAGTGAGAAAATAAGAAAAACATTTATGTTATAAATCGTGAAGAACTATGTCGGTATTTAGAATCTGTTTAAACGATCAGTTGGTCAATATTTATCTTCTATTCAATTAAGAAGTCAAGATTTTACACTCCTCTTTTAAATTCGCATTCTGGCCAGATGGAAAAATTTATTTTTTATCTTGTTATCTACAATATCAAAGTTAAATCGATTTAGTTTTTATTTCATTTAATTAATCTAAAAAATATTTCATACTGATAAATGTATTCATCTATGTTTCTTTCAATGATTATCTAAAGCTTAACTCTAAAGGTTTTGTATTAGAAAATTGCATAAGAATAATATATAAACAATTAGAAACTAATAAAGAAAATATTTTTCAGTTCAGTTTAGACGACTATCAGAGAATAAATTTCGCAGCTTTCTATGAAATGCAGTAGATAAACTTCAAGTTTCATACAGACTTCTCTTTTGCAAGCATTAATTTCCTTTTGCTAGTACTAAATTCTACTCGTGTACATCACAGAAGTTTTTCAATGTGATTATAATTAAATTAAAGAATTCTTCCTTTCCATTTGTTCAATAGTACCGAAGAAATGAGAGACAGATCACATTATACATAAATAATACTTTTACATTCTAATATTCGCGTAAGATAATATGTTATTCTGTTTCTCTCTTTCTCTCAGTTAAGTATGTGTTATGAAAACTGGTGCATGTTGAGGAAAAAAATCAAATTACAAACACTGTAAAACGATCATAGAACTAAGAACTTTGTATGATGCATTATTGGAAAATTTAACGAAAGAAAAAAAAAAATTAAAAAAATCAAACAACTGGAATGATGATATATGAACTCTTTAACACCATCCCCAATCAGTAGCTATTCTAGTACCATCATAATCGTCGCTTGAATTTAAATTATTATTAATATTGCAATTTTGAGAATATGGATTTGCATTAGGATGTGTACCATTACCAGGCATTATTCCTTCATTTGGTAATGAATTCCAATATTGTTCTGTTGGTGATTCATGAGCTTGCCCAGGTGGAGTTTGTACTGGTCCATTTGGATATCTAAATAAAATTATTTTCGAAAGCAAATTAAACAATTAAAGTCAAACCGAAAATATGGATTTTTAAGATCAAGTGTATTTGTAGCAGATATATGTGTACCATCAATTTCAAGATGCATTTCAACATCATAACTTTGTCTAGAAAAAAAAAAAAAAAAAAAAAAATTAATTTCAAATCAATAAAACAAAAAAAACGTAAATGTTTACTTTCGATTTGCATATAATGTTGCATGACCTTTAAGAATTTGTCCTTGACTTGCTGTAATTGGTTTACTAAATAAACAACGAACTTGATACCAATGTGTTAATGGTTCAGTTGGTGCTGTTGACAACCATATTTGAGAACTAAATTTTAAGAAAAAGAAAAAAAATTAATTTAGTTTATGTCTTTTTTCTTTCTATCTATTATTCAAAAATAGTAAAAAAAAAAACTAAACCTTGTTCCATCAAATGAAACATCAAACCAAAAAGCTAAACCATGTATAACAGCTGCTGTTGTTATTGGAAATGATAATGGAATATTCATTTCATATAAATCTTCTTCAGCTGCAGTTAAAAAATTGATTGAATATTTAATTGGTTTAGCTAAGCATATTCGTACATCAAAATTATCAACAACTGGTTGTTTAAAATATTCTTCTAATGCTTTATCACGTAATGTTGTTAAATCAACACCATAAAATGATTGTTGATACCAAAAATTAGCTTTACCAACTTGTTCTAAATAAAGTGCTTCATCTGTAAATGGTGTTACATAAAGATCACCTGTTGTTGGATACATTTTACCATTTGGTTTAAGAAATTTTCTAGCATGAATATATGATTCTAACATACGTTCATTATATAACATATAACCCATTGGCTCAGATATAATAACATCAACTTGTTCAGGTAATGTTATTTCTTCTATTTTACCAGGAACAATTTGAATACGGCTACTTAAATGATTATTCTCAACAAGAGTCTGAAAAAAAAAAAAATTTTTTTTTTCTCTTTTTCATAAAATATTTAATGAAGATAAAGAAAAAGAAAATTTTACTTTTGCATGTATAGCCATAGAACTTGCTTCAACTGCATAAATTTTACGTGCACCAGCTTGAGCAGCAAAAAATGAAAGAATACCTGAACCAGCACCAACATCAAGAACAACCTAAAGAAAATTTTGCTTTATTTAATATTCGAAGAGAAAAAGAAATGAAATACAAACTTTTCCAGAGAAATCAATAGAATTATCAAGAATAGCTCGTTGATATGTTGAAGTACGAATATAATCTTGCATCATATTTTGTTGTTGAGATAAATAACCATAAAACTAAATAAAAAATAAAAATAAAAAAGAATTTTGTCTTATGAAAAATGAAAATTTTCTACTTGAAAATATTGTTCGGCTGATGATTCTTCTGTTCGTTCATCGAATTGAGAATTTTCAAGATCATCAATATCTATACCAGATTTAATATATTCAAGAACTTTATTGAAATGCATTGCATCTTTAAAAAAATATATATATATATAAATATGAATACATTGTAAACAAGAAATAAAACAAGCTAAATTATTCTTCTTTATGCCGAAACCATTGATCTACATATAAGTTATATTTCGGCAATTTTTAAAAGATGAAAACTCTTCAATAATTAATGAATTGAAAAATTCTTATTAAAACATATTGAATTAGAAGAGTTAACAAAGAATCTCAATGATATTTTATCGGTTAATTTCGTTACAATTCTCTATTATGTTTTGTTTTTGTTTGTTTATCGCATTCGTATTTTCCTAGGAGAAGATCAATGCAGTTTTCTCTAACATTTCAATAGAAGCATAAATAGAAATTCATTCTTGTGATACCAACAGAACTCAACATAAACAATAGAAATAACCACAAAAACAGATTGTATTTGATATTTTTCTTTTTCTATAATTCACTCATTGAATTATTTACTTGTTTTAGATTAACTAGATTTATATAATAAATTATTCGTTAAAACAAAAATTTACCTTCTCGGTTAGAAAATTTTAATAAATAAGTAAGATGTTTTTGTTTCGGTAAACTGATGATAATTCCAGCTGAACCTGATCGAATACATTCAAATGATTTATCAACAGAAATTTTCCATACATCTGATGAATCTAAACACAAAAAAAAATGAAATTTTATTATCAATTGTCTAAAAAAAAAACAGAAAGAAAGAACAAACAAATGAATATCTTACCTCTATTCAAGAGTAGAGAATAAGTTCCTTCACTAGCTTTTTTTATCGATAAAACATTATTTGTTTCTTGTCGATCTCTTGCTAATTGATCATCCAATGATATAACTTCAACATTTGAATATTCACGCATTGTCGATCAGTTCTTCCGCTATATATTTTACCTATTCGTGTAAAATACGAATGACAGCAAATAGGTAAAAAAGACGTTAACGAGCAAACAAATTGTGTTCAGTCGACCGGCACATGACTACATACATATGTATAGATGCAAAATATTCTTACGTGTTTGTCAAAGGACAACACGAAGAAAAGTTACGCATGAAAGTAGAAGCACGAGGCAGAACGAGTCAGTTGATGACACGTCAAAAAGAAGATGAAATGTTCCAGATGAATAGTTTTTAGTAGAATCATTATTATTACAATATTGAAATGATTAATTATTTAACCAATTGAAATTGCAAAAAACAATATGAAACTTTATAAAAAATTCAAGGCAAACGAAAAATAAATATTTTTGCAAAATAAAGTCAGATTATAAATTGAATAATAATAAAAGACCATCTATATATTTATAATAGATGTCAGTAAAAGTCATCATATTATATAGAGGAAAGAGCTTCTATAAAAGAAACATGGCGAATATATTTCTATTCTTTGTTCATTTCATAAGAAACAACGCAATACAATACTATATTCTTTCGTAATTACATTTCATCTGTCAGATCACCAATATGGATCCAAGATTTGCTGGTGGTCAGCCACAATTTATTCTTGTACCACCTGGTTCTGTACCAGTTCCACTTCTTAATCAAGTACCAGTAATGATGCAATCAGCACCATTTCCTATGTTTGTTCAACAACCAACACAAGGTACAATTCCATTACAACGACCTGTTTTACCACCAACAGGAACAATTCCACAACAGCAACAACAACAAAGTTCATCAATGACAATGGAGTACATGAGTGAAGACCGTATACAAGAAAAAGCACGTCGTTGGCAACAATTACAAACAAAACGTTATGCCGATAAACGACGTTTTGGTTTTACCGATATACAAAAAGAAGATATGCCAGCTGAACATATAAGAAAAATCATTCGTGATCATGGTGATATGACAAATAGAAAATTTCGTCATGATAAACGTGTTTATTTGGGTGCACTCAAATATATGCCACATGCTGTACTTAAATTACTTGAAAATATGCCTATGCCATGGGAACAAATCCGTAATGTTAAAGTTATTTATCATATTACAGGTGCAATTACATTTGTTAATGAAATTCCATGGGTTATTGAACCTGTTTTTATTGCACAATGGGGTACTATGTGGATTATGATGAGACGTGAAAAACGTGATCGAAGACATTTTAAACGTATGCGTTTTCCACCATTTGACGATGAAGAACCACCATTAGATTATGCTGATAATATTCTTGATGTTGAACCATTAGAAGCAATACAATTACAATTAGATCCAGAAGAAGATAGAGCCATTTATGAATGGTTTTATGATCATAAACCATTAACAGATACAAAGTAAGTTTTTTCGAGAATATGAACATTATAATATAGATTATGCATTTATACCCAAGTGAAAGCGCAGACTCAGATTCTCTCAAGAAGATTGCAGAAGTAAATGGAAGTTGGATGCAGTGTTCCGCATCAGAATGCATTCGAATTTTGCTGCTTACTTTCGAGTAACATTCCCTTTTTTTCCTGAGCGAGAAAACACAACAATTCACTGGAAGCATTTCGGGTCCGGAACACTACATCAAAGTTTCATCGATCTCTAGAGTTGTCCTATATATTACGGCGAGTTTTCCGATCAGATTCGGTGGCATTCGCTTGTTTTTTGAGTTTTAAATCATTGATCCAGATTAAGTTATTAAGAGGAGAATTCATTGATGCCAAAATGTGGTTTAAGGATGTATATTTTTAGTTTATTGATCACGGATACACCCACACCACACTGTAGACATATCGAAAAAAATTGGAAGTGTTATTTGTGATGGTCTAGATAAGGCTATACGCAATCTGACCTATGGATTATTTAATGATATACAAGCTTTTTTCCTGCATGTTAGCTTTAGGCGGAAAACCTCATCGAAAAATGCCGCTAGCAAGGATTAGGAATTTTTTTTTTACTGTTAATTAAAGACATTAGGAAAAACCGTGTTTTTTTTTTGATTCTGTCAACTGATTAAAAAAACAAAGTTTCGCTTTTAACAGAAACGTGTGCAGTATAATCAGTTTGCTCAATTCCGAATTTAATCAGACTTCCCTAGAATATTTCTTCAGTCATAATACTGATGTAACGCAGAGACATTTTTATTGAAGGCTAACTTTATATTTAGAATGGTGCGTAATTAATTAGTCTTGGGAAAAAAACTTTCACATATACACATATATAAATTAAGTATCTTTTAAAATAAAAAACGTCTGTCCACCTTGTCTATGGAAACATATACTCTTTACCAATATTCACTCAATGACTGAAAGACATATTTTAATAGGATTGGTGTTTCAAGATTGTAGTGAGCGTAGATCTCGGGGAATTTCGCGCCGGCGATTCACCAGTCAGTATATCTCAATACTGTACTTTATTCTTCAAAATTATAAACTAATATACTTACTTTTATAAAAAAAAAAAAATAAACTAAAAATCATAAATAGCGATGTATAGTTTCAGTAAACTGTTCACCAGAAATTCCGATTGATTCGATATTCACTAATTTACCGAACATTTATCCATACTGTCTGACTGTTTCGGTGTTCCAGTAAAAGCTGATCTAATGTAGTCGATATTTTCATCGAAACTGCACATCCTTAGACATGTCATATGCAATAATTTAAAATAAATAGGATCAGAGTTTCTCTTCCGAAAGGATGCCACCCTCACTCTCGATACAATACTGTTATTGATCAAGTATAATATAAAAGAATTTCTGTATTTTTCTTTATTTAAATGAAATCAATTTCAACAGACTTCTGTCAGAAAAAAACAAAATGATTAATTTATTTTAGAATGGTCAATGGTTCAACGTATCGTCGATGGCAATTAACATTACCAATTCTTTCAACACTTTATCGTATGGGTAATCAATTACTAACTGATCTGGTCGATGATAATTATTTCTATTTATTTGATTTAAAATCATTTTTTACTGCCAAAGCACTTAATGTTGCTATACCTGGTGGCCCTAAATTTGAACCACTTGTTAAAGATGTCAATCCAAAGTAAATATTTTTTGTTTTTGAATTATGAAAAAAAAACGAAAAAAATTATTTTTTATTTTTCTAATTTTTTTTTTTTAGTGATGAAGATTGGAATGAATTTAATGATATAAATAAAATAATAATTCGTCAACCAATACGTACAGAATATCGTATTGCATTTCCATATTTATATAATTCATATCCATTTAAAGTATATCTTGCATGGTATCATACGCCCAATGTTGTATTTATTAAAACAGAAGATCCTGATTTACCAGCATTTTATTTTGATCCATTAATAAATCCAATAGCACATCGTCATGCAATAAAATCAATTGATGCACAAATTGATATGCAAAATCAAGAACAATTTGATGATGATGAAAAATTTATTCTACCTGAAGAATTTGAACCATTATTAACTGGTTTACCATTATATACAGATAATACAGCAAATGGTATTGCATTATTATGGGCACCACGTCCATTTAATCTTCGTTCAGGTCGTACACGACGTGCTCTTGATATTCCATTAGTTAAAACATGGTATCGTGAACATTGTCCAAGTGAACATCCTGTTAAAGTTCGTGTATCATATCAAAAATTATTAAAATGTTTTGTTTTAAATGCATTACATCATCGTAAACCAAAACCACAAAAAAAACGTTATCTATTTCGTTCATTTAAATCAACAAAATTTTTTCAATCAACAACATTAGATTGGGTTGAAGTTGGTTTACAAGTTTGTCGTCAAGGTTATAATATGTTAAATTTATTAATACATCGTAAAAATTTAAATTATCTTCATTTGGATTATAATTTTAATTTAAAACCAGTTAAAACATTAACAACAAAAGAACGTAAAAAATCACGTTTTGGAAATGCATTTCATTTATGTCGTGAAATATTACGTTTAACAAAATTAATTGTTGATAGTCATGTACAATATCGTTTAGGTAATGTTGATGCATTTCAATTAGCTGATGGTTTACAATATACATTTTCACATGTTGGTCAATTAACTGGCATGTATCGTTATAAATATAAATTAATGAGACAAATACGTTTATGTAAAGATTTAAAACATTTAATTTATTATCGTTTTAATACGGGACCTGTTGGTAAAGGACCTGGTTGTGGTTTTTGGTCACCTGGTTGGCGTATATGGTTATTTTTTTTACGTGGTGTTACACCATTATTAGAACGTTGGTTAGGTAATTTATTATCACGACAATTTGAAGGTCGTCATTCAAAAGGTATTGCTAAAACAGTTACAAAACAACGTGTTGAATCACATTATGATTTGGAATTACGTGCTGCTGTTATGCATGATATATTAGATATGATGCCTGAAAGTATTAAACAAAATAAAGCTCGAACAATATTACAACATTTAAGTGAAGCATGGCGTTGTTGGAAAGCAAATATACCATGGAAAGTACCTGGTTTACCTATACCAATTGAAAATATGATATTACGTTATGTTAAAGCTAAAGCTGATTGGTGGACATCAACAGCACATTATAATCGTGAACGTATAAGACGTGGTGCAACAGTTGATAAAACTGTTTGTAAAAAAAATTTAGGACGTTTAACACGTCTTTATTTAAAAGCTGAACAAGAACGACAACATAATTATCTTAAAGATGGTCCTTATATAACAGCTGAAGAAGCTGTTGCTATTTATACAACTGTTGTACATTGGCTTGAATCACGACGTTTTTCACCAATACCATTTCCACCATTAGCATATAAACATGATACAAAATTACTTATATTAGCATTAGAACGTTTAAAAGAAGCATATAGTGTTAAATCAAGATTAAATCAATCACAACGTGAAGAATTAGGTTTAATTGAACAAGCATATGATAATCCACATGAAGCATTATCACGTATTAAACGACATCTTTTAACACAACGTGCATTTAAAGAATGTGGAATTGAATTTATGGATTTATATAGTCATTTAATACCTGTTTATGATGTTGAACCATTAGAAAAAATTACTGATGCTTATTTAGATCAATATTTATGGTATGAAGCTGATAAACGTCGACTTTTTCCAGCATGGATTAAACCAGCTGATAGTGAACCACCACCATTACTTGTTTATAAATGGTGTCAAGGTAAGATAGATCTTCGTCTTCTTTTTTTTTTTTTTTATTATATTAAATCTAATAATAATATATTGTATTTTAATAAAGGTATAAACAATCTTCAAGATATATGGGATACAAATGAAGGTGAATGTAATGTAATGCTTGAATCTCATTTTGAAAAAATATATGAAAAAATTGATCTTACATTATTAAATCGTTTACTTCGTCTTATTGTTGATCATAATATAGCTGATTATATGACAGCAAAAAATAATATTGTACTTAATTATAAAGATATGAATCATGTTAATTCCTATGGTATTATACGTGGTCTACAATTTGCTTCATTTATTGTACAATATTTTGGTCTTGTACTTGATTTATTAGTATTAGGTTTACAACGTGCATCAGATATGGCTGGTTTACCTCAAACACCAAATGATTTTCTAACATATCAAGAAGTTGTTGTTGAAACTGCTCATCCCATACGTCTTTATTGTCGATATATTGATCGAATACATATATTTTTTCGTTTTACAGCTGATGAAGCTCGTGATTTAATTCAACGTTATTTAACTGAACATCCTGATCCAAATAATGAAAATATAGTTGGTTATAATAATAAAAAATGTTGGCCACGTGATGCACGTATGCGTTTAATGAAACATGATGTTAATTTAGGTCGTGCTGTTTTTTGGGATATTAAAAATCGTTTACCACGTTCTGTGACAACAATTTTATGGGAAACAAGTTTTGTTTCAGTTTATTCAAAAGATAATCCAAATTTATTATTTAATATGTGTGGTTTTGAATGTCGTATATTACCTAAAATACGTATGACACATGAAGAATTTGTACATAAAGATGGTGTTTGGAATTTACAAAATGAAACAACAAAAGAACGTACAGCACAATGTTTTTTACGTGTTGATGATGAATCAATGAATCGTTATCATAATCGTGTACGACAAATTTTAATGGCATCTGGTTCAACAACATTTACAAAAATAGTTAATAAATGGAATACAGCATTAATTGGTTTAATGACTTATTTTCGTGAAGCTGTTGTTAATACACAAGAATTATTAGATTTACTTGTTAAATGTGAAAATAAAATTCAAACACGTATTAAAATTGGTTTAAATTCAAAAATGCCTTCACGTTTTCCACCTGTTGTTTTTTATACACCAAAAGAATTAGGTGGTTTAGGTATGTTATCAATGGGACATGTTTTAATACCTCAATCAGATCTTCGATGGTCGAAACAAACTGATGTTGGTATAACACATTTTCGTTCGGGTATGAGTCATGATGAAGATCAACTTATACCTAATTTATATCGTTATATAATGCCATGGGAAGCGGAATTTATTGATTCACAACGTGTTTGGGCTGAATATGCACTTAAACGACAAGAAGCTAATACACAAAATAAACGTTTAACATTAGAAGATCTTGAAGATTCTTGGGATAGAGGAATTCCACGTATTAATACATTATTTCAAAAAGATCGACATGTACTTGCTTATGATAAAGGTTGGCGTGTACGAACTGATTTTAAACAATATCAAGTAAGAATTGAATTTTTCTTTTTAATTAGAATAATATTTTGATATTGAAAATTATTTTGAAAACAAAAAAACAAAATATTCTAAAAAGAGATCAACTTTAAAATAGATTTAACTATGACGACACAGTTTTAGTTTAGTGATTCACGAACAAAACCTTTCGAAATGTTCTCTTCTGAGATTTTCGGAAAAGTTGTATTTTCATCTAAAACTACACATATAGACAACATAAACGAGTTCATAACGCAAATTCATTCAAAACAAAAAAAAAATTAATTATCAGATAATATAATTTTTTTGCTAAGGTCTAGCACTGTTAGCAATGGTGTAGTTACACTCATACCTTTTTTAATAGTTGTAGGTCCTGGTAGATTTTTTGAAACACGTTTCTTCCAATGAGATGTCCTCGTCAATAGAGTTAGTGCATACTAGTGTCAATGTTCACTGAAGCATTAGAACACACCGCTACAAAAAGAGAATATTTTTGATGAAGTTGGTCACTTACTGTTCAGTATTTACACTAACTCTGCTCATTCCTAGGTTTATCATGGAAGTTAATTTAGTATATTCTATTTAACAAGTACTATGTGTTCCGAGTTATCATCTTCCCTCATGTTTAGTTCTTATATCTGCTCAATGCTATATTCTTAATATTATCCGGCATCTATGTTCATTATACTAAAAAAAAAAGAATATTTACTATATTGAATTGAATGAGTTTCATATTGAATATTGTAGAATGATTCGCTTTGAAAATGATCTTGATGATGTATTTGTATGGCATGACCAAAGTGATTAGAAGATATTTATCTAATAAAGTTTATTTGAACGTTAAATAGAGAAGATTAAAAAGCACATCCACACCCTATTCGAAGACATTGAACGCTCTCTGAAAGCGTTATTAGACGATTTTCGTCTTATCTACAAACATGCTCAGAAAAAATTGGAATCGAGTTTTCGAAAAATAGTCTTAGAGACATCAGAAAATGATTTTTATATTTCATTGATTAAACAAAATATTAATTATATTTTAGATCCTCAAACAAAATCCATTCTGGTGGACACATCAACGGTATGTATATTTCTGGTAATTTTTGTATGATTTTATTTGTTTTTCTAATTTTAGACATGATGGAAAATTATGGAATTTGAATAATTATCGTACAGATATGATTCAAGCATTAGGTGGTGTTGAAGGCATTCTTGAACATACACTTTTTAAAGGGTTTGTTATTGAATTATTCTATTTCTTTTTTTCATATTGTTAATTTTTAGAACATATTTTGCAACATGGGAAGGTTTATTTTGGGAAAAAGCATCTGGTTTTGAAGAATCAATGCGTTGGAAAAAATTAACAAATGCACAACGTTCAGGTTTAAATCAAATTCCAAATCGTCGTTTTACATTATGGTGGAGTCCAACAATAAATCGCGCTAATGTTTATGTTGGTTTTCAAGTTCAACTTGATTTAACTGGTATATTTATGCATGGAAAAATTCCAACATTAAAAATATCATTAATTCAAATATTTCGTGCACATTTATGGCAAAAAATTCATGAAAGTGTTGTTATGGATCTTTGGTAAAGAATTTTATTTAATTAAAAATATAAATTTGTATATTTTATTTCATTTGTTTTGTTTTTTTTTTTAGTCAAGTATTTGATCAAGAATTAGATGCATTAGAAATTGAAACTGTACAAAAAGAAACAATTCATCCAAGAAAATCATATAAAATGAATTCATCATGTGCAGGTTAGATTAGTTTCTTTTTCTTTTATCTTTGTTTTGTGAAACAAGAACAAAGAAGTATATAAATAGACAATTGAACTTCCATACTGAACATTTTTCCATCGATTAGACGACATTGAAGTTATGAGAGAGTGTTCACAAATCATAAATTGCTTTTACCTTGAAATTGTATTCAATTGATAGGTTCTAGTGACTAAATAAATACTCTAGAATAATTCGAGTTGCTGGATCTTTGTTGCAGAGATATCGAATTTTTTCTGTAGGACAGAAACGCAACCAGAGGGAGGGAGGTCGATCTCCTTCTTGAGAAAGATTGAAATACCTGTAGGTAGGTACGAACTGATTTTTTTCACAATTTAAAAAACTTCTTTTTTCTTATGACAGTCTCTCCTCCTGAGAATTCCTGTAAAGGTACTGATTATATTATCTTGATCCTCATCTGAAGAAAGAAAGCACTTGCTATCGAATTTTATATCAAGAACGTCTAGTTAAACTACATCCTTTTTTGTATTTCTGGAGATTTAAGTAACAAGATGGTGAATACATACGTATATCCCAAAATAGAATGAATAAAACAAACTTTCTATGATTAATATCAGTAACTATGTTGTGTTTTACATTTCAATTCTGCAAGAATGACATTAACAGCTTTCGTTTTTTTCGTTTAGATATTCTTCTATTTGCTGCATATAAATGGAATATAAGTAAACCATCATTATTAGCTGATTCAAAAGATGTTATGGATAATACAACATCTCAAAAATATTGGTTTGATGTACAATTACGTTGGGGTGATTATGATTCCCATGATGTTGAACGTTATGCTCGTGCAAAATTTCTTGATTATACAACTGATAATATGTCAATTTATCCATCACCAACAGGTGTTATGGTAGCTATTGATTTAGCATATAATTTACATAGTGCATTTGGTAATTGGTTTCCTGGTTGTAAACCATTAATACAACAAGCTATGGCAAAAATAATGAAAGCAAATCCAGCTTTATATGTTTTACGTGAACGTATACGTAAAGGTTTACAATTATATTCATCTGAACCAACTGAACCATATTTATCATCACAAAATTATGGTGAATTATTTTCAAATCAAATTATTTGGTTTGTTGATGATACAAATGTTTATCGTGTTACAATACATAAAACTTATGAAGGAAATTTAACAACAAAACCAATTAATGGTGCCATATTTATATTTAATCCACGTACAGGACAATTATTTTTAAAAATTATTCATACATCTGTTTGGGCTGGACAAAAACGTTTAGGACAATTAGCTAAATGGAAAACAGCTGAAGAAGTTGCAGCTTTAATTCGTTCATTACCAGTTGAAGAACAACCAAAACAAATTATTGTTACCCGTAAGGGTATGTTAGATCCATTGGAAGTTCATTTACTTGGTAAGTTTATTTGTTTTTCTTTTTTTTTTATTAAATAACAATTTCATAATGAAATAATTAAATCTCGTAATATATTTGAAGACTTAAGTCATATAGTTGCCTCAGATCAGAGATGAAACCGATCTGTACAAGGTCAGGTCGATTGGTTTTATCTTTGACTGACTTGAACACTCAATACTTAAATTGATATTTTTGTAATAACTATTACAGATGAACGAGGAAAATTTTTCTACAATGTTGTATTTAATTGTTAGCTTTTTTTTTTCTTCATATAATCAATTTTTTGGTTATTATGTATTCGATGAAATTAGATTGAGTTGTTTGTAAATGAGGTCAAGTTTTAGGAAAAAGAATATGATAGATTTATAAAAATATACAACGTATGAAAGGTGATTAAGAATACACTTTCAAATATCATCGATAAGCGCAATGAATTAGTGGCGTGAGCAGAGTAGGATTAGAAGAGGTGCAGACTTCCTTCTCTAAATATGATTGAGTTCTGATAAAAAACGAATCTAAGCTCTTTGTAGAAACATTACCAGACTGTATCTACTTCTCAGCAACTTTTTTTTCTCGTTACACCACTATCAAACAAGGATGTCTCTGAAATCGATTTATGACCTTTTTACTGAATTTTCAAAACATGTTTGCTTACCACAAAAATTGAGTTTACTTGAATATTTTGATGAAGGAACATTCTTTTCGACGGAAACTTTCATGATCCGAAAAAAGTCAATATTGTTGAGAAATGCTTCAACCTTAAGGTGTTTTCATAATTGCTCATGCATCTGAAGAAACGTTTTAACAAATAGTCAATCCAGTCTGAACTTATTGGATGATTCCTGAGCTCACAGTTCGGGTTCACTGCATGTCTAGTTATTACTATGAACATATGAAAAAAAAACGTATGCTGATAATTTATTTTTTCCTAGATTTTCCAAATATTGTTATCAAAGGTAGTGAATTACAATTACCATTTCAAGCTTGTCTTAAAGTTGAAAAATTTGGTGATTTAATATTAAAAGCAACTGAACCACAAATGGTTATGTTTAATTTATATGATGATTGGTTAAAATCTATATCATCATATACAGCATTTTCACGTTTAATTCTTATACTTAAAGCATTACATGTTAATAATGATCGTGCTAAAATGATTTTAAAACCTGATAAAACAACAATAACAGAAGTTCATCATATATGGCCAACATTAACTAATGATGAATGGATTAAAGTTGAAGTTTCATTAAAAGATTTAATTTTAGCTGATTATGGTAAAAAAAATAATGTTAATGTTGCATCATTAACACAAAGTGAAATACGTGATATTATATTGGGTATGGAAATAAGTGCACCAAGTGCTCAACGACAACAAATAGCTGAAATTGAAAAACAATCTAAAGATTCATCACAATTAACAGCAACAACAACTGAAACAGTTAATAAACATGGTGATAAAATCATAACAACAACAACAAGTAATTATGAAACACAAACATTTGCATCAAAAACTGAATGGCGTATACGAGCTATATCAGCAACAAATTTACATTTACGTACAAATCATATATATGTTTCATCAGATGATATTAAAGAAACAGGTTATCGTTATATTTTACCAAAAAATATTTTAAAAAAATTTATTATTATTTCGGATCTTCGTACACAAGTAAGATTTCATTTGAAATTTTATGTTTGAAAAAAAAAAACTTCATGCTTATCTCTTTTTTTTTTTTTAGATTGCTGGATATTTATATGGTGTTAGTCCACCAGATAATCCACAAATAAAAGAAATTCGTTGTGTTGTATTACCACCACAATGGGGTACACATCAAACTGTTCATTTACCAAATCTATTACCACAACATGAATATCTTAAAGTAAGAAAACGAAATAAACATCAACAGTTTCGAATAATTACAATGTCCATGGGATTCGCCCGGGGGTAAAAGTCATCTGTATAATATGCGATTAGCTGATAGTTGTTCTCTTACCGGTCGGATTGGTTCCGAACCCATTCGGGTTCAGATCGAGGTTCGGCATCAACTTGATTAGAATTTGACTATGTCAGATTTTGAAGCCGATGGATTCTACTTACAGATAATCTACTTTCGGTAGTCTGTATTTAAATTCTATGAAGCTCGAGTAATGTAAAACTAATGAAATTAGATTATCTATATAAAGATAAAAAGCATAGTCAAGAATTGATATAGTAATATGAACGATTGTTTTGTTCATTATCTAATTGTATTATTAAAAAAGAAAGACTAAGCTAAATAACACTTGTTCTATGTTATGATCAAAAAACAAATGTAGTTCTATCATAATATTAGTGTGGAAATTTTTTTTTTCTCTTGAGAAAACTTAATCCCGAGAAGATCTATCTAAAATAGTATTTAAATAAATGGAGTTCATTTACATTTTGTATTTATTGATTGAAATCGTCGTTGCACTTTAGTCAAGAATATTATTTGATAATATCGATAACAAACTTTGTCTCATTAGTATATGATTTTTTCAAAGTTTTCGAAAAATATTGACCATAAGTAATATTACGAGAGAACAACTGAACATCATACAAAGTATTAATGGTGAGACTTTTGCTATTAGATAGAATTTACTAAGATATAAGCAAAATTTATAATGATTCGTTTCCTTATTTTGTTTTTGAGTTATGACAATTTTACTGAATTTCTGACTCCGTGTATAAGACAGACTCTCTCGTAAGATTTAAAACTTCCCTTAGGCCTCCTATTCAGAATTTCAGTACAATACCTATAACTCTGAACCAAAAGTCTAAGGAGATTTCTTTGTTTGAAGTTTTCTCATATCTCATTAAAGTCTACCTTGCACACAAAGCTCAAATTCAAAAACAATTTATCAATTGAAAACTTTCTTTCATCAGTAGATTCTACCTAATACGAAAAATATCGTCTTACAAGTGTTCTTTTTTTTTTTTACTATATCACCTCAAGAGATTTTATAACATTTCTTTACTTAAATAGGAAATGGAACCACTTGGATGGATTCATACACAACCAAATGAATTACCTCAATTATCACCACAAGATATAACAACACATGCTAAAGTAATGAATGATCATACGTCATGGGATGGAGAAAAAACAATTGTTATAACATGTTCATTTACACCTGGTTCAGTTTCATTAACAGCTTATAAATTAACACCAAGTGGTTATGAATGGGGTCGATCAAATACTGATCGTGGAAATAATCCAAAAGGTTGGTGTTTCTTCTTTTTTTTTTTTTTTTTTTTATTATTATTTAAAAGAAAAACGATTTTTTAATTATTGTTTTTTTTTAAGGATATGCACCATCACATTATGAAAAAGTTCAAATGTTATTATCCGATCGTTTCTTAGGTTTTTTTATGGTACCAGGACAAAGTTCATGGAATTATAATTTCATGGTAAGATTTTTCTTTTCATATTTTTTTATTCAATGAATTTTTTAAATAAAATTTTCTATTTTAAGGGTGTTCGTCATGATGCTAATATGAAATATGATTTAATATTATCAAATCCAAAAGAATTCTATCATGAAATTCATCGTCCATCACATTTTCTTAATTTTTCAAATGAAGAAAATCCAGACACATATTCAGTTGACCGTGAAGATCGATTCAGTTAATAGAACATCAATCCGGTTATAGAATTGTATAATCAGGCTACTGCTTTTTTTTTCTTTTTCTTGTTTGTTGTCTTTAACTGTTGTTCTTTTCTTTGTGAGATAATAAATCGTCATGAAACACATTAAATGAGTGTGTGATCATCAAGAATGATTTAAGAGACATTGTTTTTTCTTCTTCTATTGTAGATTTAATCTATTTGAGTCATTGTTTTTGAGTGAGACAAAAAACAAGTAATAGACGATGAGTGAACAAATGGATGCAAGTAATAACAATGCGTCTACTATTAGTCAAAGTTCAGAGACAACAACAAATACAATACTTAAATTAACTATTAAAACACCAAAAGAAAAAAAGGATATCGCAATTGATGTCACTTCAACTGTTAAACAAGTACTTTAATTAAAACAAAAAATATGCATTAAGAAACTTTCTTTTTTTTTTTTTTATTAGTTGAAAGATTTAGTGGCTAATGAATTTAATACATCAATTGATCAAATTTGTCTTATATATTCGGGTAAAATTCTAAAAGATGATGAAGATCTTAAAAAACATGGTATAACAATAGAAATTTAATATGCTTTATTATAATTATAGTTTTTTGTTTTTCTTAATTAATAGATTTAAAAGATGGTGTTACTGTTCATTTGGTTATTCGAGCACCAAAATCAGATACAACAACAAATGATTCTACTAGGCCAACATTTTCTAGAACTCAACGCGAAGTAAATATACATATGTATATATATACGATTTTAAAAGTATACTGAAAAAGAAAAATATAAATAATTCGAATTGTCTCAAACTTATAAGCCTATTAAAAAACAAATCATCCTTCAAGAAGATCGACAATAACATTAAATTAAGTGATTATTGAGAGAACGTTTTCAAATAATCAATCATTTGCTTAACAAAAATTACTAAATTATGATTTGTTAATCATGCTAATTCCGAATATGATCATAAGAGATCCTCTTAGATTTCTATGTACTGGTTTTTCAAGACTGAGAAACATTTTACAAGACCCATTTTGGAACGAATCATGAGCAAGCTTGTCAATATGTTTTAGGGGTAAAGGCGCAGGCGAAACTCACCATTACTCGACTCCTTCTATATAGATGACCTGTCATCAGATCATCTTTTCCCTAATCCTATTCATCTCGCAAAATCATTGTATGCTTATTTTTATTCTACTTTCTTCTAGAGAAAAGAAAATCATGTTTCTAAATTCAGTTTCTATTCTAAGTTAATATGAATCTTTAAAAAATTGACAAAAAGTTGGACATTTTGAGGATAGCTCTCATCTAATCCAGAATCCTACTCACAAGGAAACTTTTTCAGGTTTCATATTACTTTTAGATCGAAAGGTGTTTATTTGACGAGTGCTAAAGAGTCATAGAAAAGCCTAGAATATTTCGGTATTCTGGATCTTTATGTTCTCAAAATATCAAAATTTTATTGAAGTTTTCAACAAAAAGATGTGAACTCTCTCACATTACATGGAAAAGTGACTTCTCACTTCAAATTTTGCACGAGTAAAGTTTTTAATAGTAATAGTTCATTGGACAAGTTTAGCTTTTCTAGTATTTTCTTCCTGAAGATGTAACTACATGAACTAAATTTGCTTTTACACATGAGAGAATTTCGAATATTAAATGTCTCAGGATAGAACATACTAGAAAGTTACAACTTATCTAATAAAGTAATCTTCTTGAAAACTTAGTTCATGAAAAGTATGAGATCGAAACTCAAAATTCGATTTTCCATGTGACCCAAAGACTATAACTTTTTGTTTGAAAATTTAAGAGAATATCGAATTGTGTAAATCATTTGATCTATATAAGATTTATTGATGTTGGAAATTTTATTTGAAAACAATCGTTTATCTTTTTTTTAGCCTCCTACTCATCCAACTCCAACTCAACCACCAAATCCAACTGGTACTTTTCCATTTGGACTTGGTGGTATTCCTGGTATGGATAATTTAAATTTTACTGATATGCAACAACAGCTTCAACAACAAGTAATCAGAAACAGAATAGAAAATAAACGAATACAAATAGTTGTTTTGTTTTTTTATATTGATTAGATAATGACTAATCCAGCACAACTTCGTCAATTAATGGATAGTCCTGTTGTACAGAGTATAACAAGTAATCCTGATTTATTACGTTCATTATTACTTAGTAATCCGCAAATTCGTGATTTAATGGAGGTAAAATTAATTTTAAATAATAAATATTTGAAAAAAAACATTCATGAAAAAAATTTTTTTTTCGTAGCGTAACCCTGAAATATCACATTTACTGAATAATCCTGATTTACTTCGACAAACAATGGAATATGCTCGGAATCCAACAGCATTACAAGAACTTATGCGTAATCATGATCGAGCTTTGAGTAATCTTGAAGTAAGTTTTACAAACAAGACACCAAAATGGCTATTCGGCCTGATCTGAATTTCTTTTTCAAAGAAAATTTCCTACGTAAGAAAATAAAAAAAAATTGATTTTAATCGATGTTATTCTGACTGTTCGTCAAGATTTTTTCACTTCGCAACTGATGGCAATCAGAAATATTGGTTATGCGAATGTTTTCAAAGTTTCGTACAGCTAATAAATATAAAAGCAGAGGATTTATTCGATCTAATCAAATTTCTCATCGGCACACAGAAAACTGAGTATACTATCAATTGCATTAAATGTCATGAGTGTTCCAGAAGTGAAACATTATTAACTATATGCTAAAAATAGTAATCGATCTGACTCTTTGAAATTGATCAACAGACTTTTTACTTGTGAAAACTTATGTTAATGAATGATGGTCTTTAAGAATTGGAAACCCCCGAGATAGTGTCTTTCGAGTCCAAAATTTCTCGACTCGGAACCGGTCTATTGAACGATTTTGAAAAATTGATCTTGACCCAATCGAACTGGTTCTTAATACTCTCAGTAAAATTTTCTGATCGGAATTGGATAGTCTTCCTGAAATGAAAAGTGGTTCGACTTCGAAGTCTTCTATAAGGTTTTGATTATTTTTCAAATTTTTGTCTTTTTTTTCTAATAGAGCATTCCAGGTGGTTTCAATGCTTTACAACGTATTTATCATGATGTACAAGAACCAATGTATTCAGCAGCACAAGAACAATTTGGTAATAATCCATTTGCACAATTACTTACTGGCAATGGTAGTATTGAATTTTTTTCTTCTTCTTCTTCTTTTCTTATATTAATGTTATTTCTCTATCATATAGATAATACAACAGCATCACGTACTGAAAATACTGATCCATTACCAAATCCTTGGGCACCTCGCAATACTGCTGCAACTCCTCGTCAAACACAACAACCATCTACTAATACAACAACTACTCAACAACAACAACAACAGCCAGCAGATTCAGCATTGCCAACTAATACTACTGGTAGTTCACCTAATTTAATATCTCCAATGATGCAAAATTATATGTCACAATTAACTCAAAATCCTCGTTTACTTGAAAGTGTTCTTAATGCACCACATATGCAACCATTAATGGATTCACTTGTTGCCAATCCAGATATATCAAGACAAATGGTTGCAAATAATCCAATGTTTGCTAATAATCCTGAATTACGTGAACAAATGCTTAATGCTTTACCAACTATGATGGAACAAATGAGAAATCCTGAAGTACAAGCATTAATGCAAAATCGTGAAGCACTTGAAGCTATACAACAAATACAAGAAGGTTAATAAATTAGATTTATATTAGAATAATGTATAATTTTTCCTATTTAGGACTTCAACGTTTACATGCAGCGTCACCTAACCTCTTTCAAGCGTTAGTTTCTTGTTAAAAAGAATTTTCATAAATTATCAAAACAAAAACATTGAACACAAAATAATTGTTTATTTATTTTTAGTGGTGGTTTACCAGCTAGTCTTCGTTTTGGTTCAACTGGTCTATCACCACCAACTAATACGGGAACTACACCGTTGTCATCATCAACTGCTCAATCGACATCAACAAATCCACCATCAAGAACAGATACTGGTAATGCACCATCGTCAAATGATCCAAATAATTATGCAAATGTATTCGCCCAAATGTTAAATATGATGTCGAATCAAAATATTGTATGTTTTATTTAAAGGATCCTACCGAAAAGGAGCGGTCTATCTTGAATCAGAATACCATATATTGAATCTTGTAGAGCGACTTGCAGTGAAGAATATATATGATACTCATAGACATTGTGATCCCTAAAATGTTCTAAGATAAAGTTATGCAAATATTGTTTTTAAATTCAATTCGAAACAGTTAGAAATGCTCTTCAATTTTCCATAATCAATAGTTTTCATAGTCATTTTCTCCATGCTTAAAAATGGTTTTGTCTCTTAGATCTAGATTATTTATTACCTATATGATATACCATTGTGCTCAGTCCTGCATCACAGAACAAATGAGTATCAGCGTGAAACTTTCTCAATAATTACACACTATCAAAATCTATATGTTTCACAGAGAACAATTTTCGGAACAACAGAGACTCATTGTCAACTTTCAAGAGTATCACGTAGAATCGTCTATTATCCTATATGGAAAACTCGGTATATGAGCGATATTTTAATAATACGCAATGATCTGATTAAAAATTTGTCATCAACCAATAATCAGCACAGCGTCGCTAATGAATTGATATAAATAAGTTCTTTATCAACAGTAAAAATATTCTTGAACCTTCAGACCGAGTACAGACGTGCAGAAAAATTTACTTTTAAAATGAACATAAGATATTTATAGATTTATTTTCTCTAGAATTTTATGTATCAATTAAATCTAGTTGCTCGGAATAAAAATTTGAAAGAGAAATAAAGAAATAGTAGATCTCCTTCCTGCAACCATATTTCTGTGTCTCTGTCCAAGGATGTAGAGGTCAACAATTTTTCAACCAGTTATAAAAAGAGTTATTTATATCAATTAATCAGTGATGCTGTGCTGATTATTGATCGATGATAAACTTTTAATCAGAACATTGAATACTATTAAAATATCGTTCATATACCGAGTCCGCCATATACGAAAATGGGAGATTCTATATGACACTCTTGTAAGTTAACAATAAGTTCCTACTGTTTCCAAAAGATCTTATCTGCGAAACATATAGAGCTCGATAGTGTCATTTTTGAGAAAAGTTTCACATTTTTATCCATTGCTCTTTGACGCAGGACCGAGCAAACTAGAATACCACATAGCCAAGAAATAACTTTGATCTAAGGAAAGAGATCATTTTTATCTATGAAGAAAGCATCGATGAAAACTATTGATTATAGAAAATTGAAGAGCATCTTTAACTGCATCAAATTGGGTTTTAAAACAAATTTGCATAAGTTTATCTTAGAATATTCTACGGATTACAATATTTGTGAATACCATATATAGTTCTCAAGAATTACAACTAATATGTTGATCATTATCCTGTCACAATTTTCATGAAATTTGATTTCTACTATACCACTCAATGCACAGAAATCTAGTTCAAGATAGACTAGCAAATTCGACGGGATTTGATGAATTTTATTTCTTTTTTGATTTTTTTTTTTGTTAACATATAGAATATACCACCGGATCAACGTTATGCTGTTCAATTAGAACAACTTGTTTCAATGGGTTTTACTAATCGTGAAGCAAATTTGCAAGGTAATTAACTTGTTTGTTTTTTTTTGTTTTTGTTTATTAAGTTTCTTTAAAATAAAAACTTCTTTTTAGCTTTAACAGCAACAATGGGAGATGTAAATGCGGCAATTGAACGGCTTCTTTCACAACATTAACTTTTTTTCTTTTGCAATACATTAATTCTTCTATTCATGTTAATAGAAATTTTTTTTCGTTTCTTCATTTTTTGCTCGATTTATCCAATTTTGATCGGTTAAAAAAAAACGAGCACATTTATCTCATTTACTTTTTCTTCTATTCATAATTGTTTTGTCTATGTATATGTGTTTGAAAGAAGAAGAAAAAATAAATCAATATACTAAAATGAGGGATAATACCCTTGTATATGCGTATTTTGCGAAAAACAAAATAAAGCTTTTTGTGGCTATCTTCGCGTTTATATACCGTGATGATTGTTTCTGTATAAACAACAAGAATATTTTCAGTTCGAAACAATAATTAATAATCAACAATATATGTTCATCTACTAACTATTTTGCCTATAGATGTCAGATTATTTAATGAACAAAACTGTGATTATTGATGAATCTAGAATTATAAAACTTTTTCTTAGTAGTTTAGTCATTTACAAAGATTTGAATAATTATAAATGATTTTAACATTGAAATATATTCGAAGGCTACTAGAAAAAAAAAACCATATTGTCACGTTCAACTTTACTTGCAACTTAATACTTCATTCGTGTTCATATAATTAAACATAAAAGGTTATACATCATTTTTCTTCGGCATCACAAACAAAGTCAAGTATTTTTTTCTACAATTTTCACTAATTTATTTTATGCTAGAAAAAAATAATTAAAAAAATTCAATATTCGCAGATATATATCATTTACTCATTATCATATAAAAAAGGAGGCGATAATACACATATATTACCTCTTGATACACATTTTAGCCGAAAGGCTTCATCGATAATGAATTAAATCTACAGTTATATATTATATTTGATTCTTGTAATAAGAAGACCTCTTGTAATGTTCATTACGTACTTATATATGTTCGTTAGAGTCATCTGTTTTTGAAAAAACAAAATGTGAAAAGAAAGTGCTTTTGAATTGAGTAATAGCAAGTGTATAACGGAAATCAACTAACATATCAAATAAAGCGGTATGTTTTATTCAAATAATAGGTAAGAATTTAAAATAATAAATAGAAACACTTTTGTGCTTTTTTTTTTTTTTCGTTTCTCAAGTGACCAATTATGAACACATCATAAACAATAAACAACAATCAATTTCACACGATTATTTAAAGTAACTTCATAAAAATAGAACTAAGATCAATTCTCATTAAAATATCCTATCACTAGTATCCATATTTCAATTAATTTCATATGTATTTGTTAATCTCACTATTTATTTGTATATATACATGTATTGAAATGATCTTCTGTCAATGAATAACAAGAAAATAAGCTGTTCTTTTGGATTCATTAATCGCCTGCCATCATTCACTAATTTAACATCAATCATTCACACTCTGTTGATCTTTGATTCATTCATTCTTTATGATATCACAGTTTCTTCTTTTTTTTTTTCCTTCTAAATATATGTATGACTATTCTTATTCCATAATACCAATATGTACTCATCTTCATTTATGACTGTTATATCATGTAGTTGAACTTTTTTCCTTTTGTGAAAGCGATCTATAATGCGATACCGGTATGTCATTCAATTGAATAGTTCACTTAAAAGGAAGAGAGAGAGAAGAAAATATTCATGACATCGATTACCTTTAGGATAACAGAGATGCAGGTGATTTTTTTTTTTCAAAAACAACTTACCAACTGTTCGCTATTTTTTCTCTCTCTATAATTGTCGTTCACAAACGAACACATACTTCACTGAAGAAATTGGTTGTTTGATAGCTGCTGAATAATTTCTTTTTTGTAGATCAAAATATATTAACAATGACTAAAATTGTTTCGAAGTAAGTAACTTATTCTGCCTATTAATTAATTATAACAACACTTTTGTTACACTTAATCATTTTGTTTTTCTAAAACCATTTTGATTCGCTCGTATTCTTGATAGATAAAATCTAATATCTAACTATTCCTCATCTAATTGAAAGAAAAAAAAAAGAAAAAAGAAAATCAGAAAAGATAATATTGCATACGTGAAAAAGGAGAAGCTTAGAAAGATTGGTTAATACAATTTATTGGTGGGTGGATGATAGCATAACTATTTTATCCATTGCATTGCGTAGACAAATAGTCTTCGACATTCTTTCTGATATCTATGTGTGCGTGTGTGTTTATTCAGCATAGTATATATATATATTCGAAATTATCAAAAGAATCCATTCTCCTATTATGATATATTTAGACTTTGACAACAAGATATTTTTATTAAAATGATGAGCACTAGTAATCGAATTAAGTAAGTGTTAGTTTAAACAAAAACAAAAAAAGCCATCAGTTTCTTTTTTGTTTCATTGACATTGTACTTTCAAATCACTCTATGTGATGGACTATTGCCATGCGTAGATCATTTCTTATTAAGCTCGAAACAAACAACATGTTTTATTTGCTCATCGAATTAACTTCTCTCTCTGTGTGTGTATGTTTGTATGATGTAACTTCTCTCTTTTTTTTTTTTTTTATTGATGATTGTTACTTTATCTATTTTGTCTTCGATGATCATCACTAACATGATTTATTTGCATTGATGTTTTGGTTTTTGCTTTTAGTATGTTGTCTAGTTGGCCATCACCATTACAATTTGTCAAAGATTTTGATCGTACAAATTATTCAATTAAATCAGAAGAATCAACATCAACTGATGAGTTAGATGATGATCAAAATAATGATGGTGAAGGTGTTTGGAGTCCAGATATTGAACAAAGTTTTCATGTATAATTTTATTCTTTTTTTTTGCTATATGATTTGTTTTTGTTTTTTTCTAAACGTAAATTAATTTAGGAAGCATTATCTATTTATCCTCCATGTGGTCGAAGAAAAATTATTCTATCCGAAGAAGGTAAAATGTTCGGTAGAAATGAACTTATTTCACGTTATATCAAAATGCGTACTGGTAAATTACGTACACGTAAACAAGTATCATCACATATTCAAGTTCTTGCTAAGCGAAAATCAAAAGAAATTCAAACATTATTTAAAGTAATAAAAACAAAAAAACAATTTAATATTTTTCTTCAAAAAAAACAAATCATTTAATTTAGGATTCAAATTTTAAAGAACCTTATCATCCATTAGTTTTTAATCAACATTATCATCAATTACATAATTCAACAACACCATCAACAATTATTACTGATAGTACTTCATCTTATTATACACATCAACAACATACACCTGTATCATTTTTTCCATCAACATCTACATTATCATTTAAATCAACAACACCAATTATTTGGCAACAACAAAATTCAGAGTAAGTTTAATTATAATTAAATTTATAATTTTTGCTTTTTTTCTTAATTAGATTTAAACCATTTTCACCATCATCAATAACAACAGATTTTATTTCAATGCCAAATACAATAACGAATTTTATTCATACAAATCAATTAAAACTTATTCAATTTGTTGGATATATTCAATCAAAATCTGATATTCATCCAGTAATAAATTCAATCGAATTATTTTAATTATTTAAATTAAAGAATATTTTCTTTATAGAAACATTATCTTGTTCATATCAGTCAAGAAGCTGGTACTGATATGAAATCTGAAGTAAGTCAATCGAATTATTTTTACAGTTCTGAACAAAAAAAAGAAACTATTTTCTATGCAGTTCTACTATCCTTTATGATATTGAGTTGATATATTTTATGCATCCATGCGATAATAAACTCTCCCTTCATCAGTTCATATGTATTGAAGTTATGATTCACACATCTTCTTTCCTCTGTGAAAAACATATTCAGCAGAAATGTGCACTTTAAAAAGAATTTTGTTGCACAAGATGATACCGTTTTTTTTCTAGCACTAACTCGACTTTATTCAATGCTGTGGATTTAAAATTTTCAGAACAGACTTTTCATTTCATGGAAAATTTCTACTGAAATATTCAAATAAATTAGTCAAAGTCATCGTAGAAAAGATTCATTTTAATAAAAATTAGCATTTGCTGTTCGAGAGACATTCTGAATGAGACGACAACATCTTACGAAGGAAGTTCGCCAACTAATAAATCGTCTTTGAGTCGAGACTACATGTGTGATGTATATTCAAATGAGCTATGAATATCCTGAAAAGAGTTCGTATCCGTAGCTTATTGCAGAAGAGATACTACATTTTTACAGTATTTCTTTAATGAATGCTGTGATTCAACTCAGGAACATTAAGGAAAACTAATTTTCGAATTTCCACTTGAAATTTTATATGAAGATCAGCCTTCACAAGAGCAGTGCAAGTCTTTTGATTTGCTTCTATCTTGAAATAAAATTGTCATATCTGTTGGTTTATACGAGTGATGTAAAAGACACGTTATTACCAATGTCGTATCTAAGAGTAGGAACAACGAAACGATTTGAAACTTTCAAAAAAACTTATTCTCGTAACAGTCTGTCTGAGTGAAAAGTTTCAACATGGCATTCATTTAACAAATACCGTACAAGTGCAGTATCTTCGTGAAATAAGCTAATAGTACGAATTCTTTTCAAGATATTCACAGTCCATTCGAATCAATAAAAATGTTCGTAGTTTAGACTCAGCAGACAAAAATTTAAAGTTTTTTTTCGAGATATTTTCACTGTTGAAATTAACAACGCCACATATTTTAGTACTTAGACGAAACAATATGATATATGTACTGAAATCTTTAATCTCAAGAATAAAGAAATAAAGATTTGTTGACATAGATATTGAGAATATTTGTATCTATCTGATGATTTAACAATTCTGATTCGAGATTTTTGCATCTGTCGAACTCTAGTTTGTGTATTTCCTTGTTAGTTATTTCAAAGTGATTTCTAACAATATTTGTACCAGAAATAACTACGATAGTTGCCTTTGGAATCAAGAATTAGACAAATGGTTGAGATGAATTGATTACATGTGAATCGATAGAGGATGGATTAGTGCTTACGAACAAACTTTATTTTCGCACGTATTCATACGAAAATATCAGTAGAATATGATAAAGAATAGTAGCACTTGATGAAGGGCAAATGCTCTTTGGCCTAGAATTGTACCTATTTATATGACTTATCAATTGTTGTTTGTTCTTTTTGTTAAGCGTATCAAAATGAGCCAAATTATTGATTTATTTCCTATGTTAAAAGAACTTTATAATAAAGGATCAAAAGATGCATTTTATGTTGTTAAAATTTGGGTATGATTAAGATTTATTTATATTGAATTATTTTAATTATGTTTTTTTTGTCATAGGTCAATATGAATTATGAAGAAAATTCAACTGATACATATCATTATTTTTCTGTGTAAAAAAAGAAAAATTCAGTTCTTTTTATTATGTTTCTTTTTATTTTGATATATTTTCTTGTTTTAGTTTTGAAAGTTTCGAAGATAATATGAATTTATGTATAACAACAAAAGCATGTTCATTTGGTAAAACAATTGTAGAAAAAATTGAAGTAAAATAATTCTAATGAATAATTTGAAAATTATATTTGAAAATATTTTCTAGGATGGTACAACAAAATATAATGATATGGTTAATAAATATATTCATCGTTCAGTTGATACAACAATGTGTCATTTTATGATTGATTTTATAAAAAAACTTAAAACAGGAATGTATATACGTGAGATGATGAATGTTGTACTTGAACATCTAGGAGTACTTCAAGTAAGTTTAGTTTGATTTTTTTGTTAAATTTTGTAATTCGTGTTTCATTATTTAGACAGTAGTATCAAAAGATACAAATGAATTACTATTATGTATTGCATATATATTTGAAATAAGTGAATCATTAAGTGGTACACAATCGACTGCTTATCGTTTATGCGAATGATATTGAACAATTTATTATTCATATTTCTTATTTTGTTTTGTTTTGTTTTTTTTCTTAACGATCGCGAAAATTGTTTTTTTCCTATCATTCTTGATTTACTTTATCCTTGTATGATTACTATTGCTCTTTCATTTTTCTCTAATAAATTATTTTTCAAGATATTAGATTTAATCTAATGATTGATATTTATTGACTTGTATCCAATTTATTTTCTTGTTATATAAATTTAATGAGAATATTCAATCAAGATAGGAATGCAACAGTGAAGCAGGTAAGTACATGAAGAACCTATGGTCATGACGAACAGTGTATTAGTACTGATAGCTTCTTTTAGCTTAAAGACATCTGAGTAATAGGAAAAAACATCAGTCATCACCAAACGTCTCTGATGTATTTACTAATTTTAACGATAATGTTTGAAAGTGCATCTTTAGATCGAGTTGAGAAAATACTATATGATTGATGATAGGAAAAGAAAACAATAGGCATGTTAATTGCTTTATAGACTAAAAGATCACCGAAGATATAGAATCAATGAACGTGCCAACGATGAGACAATTAAGATTTGTTTGTCATGATAATATATAACGTCATTTGTTAGTGACAAAGATCGATTGAGTGTGTCATCAACGTTGTTAAGTATTGTTTGATTCATCCATCCTGATGGTATTTAAGAAAGAACAGATAAGAATTCACATTGGTATTTATTTCGTATATTTTAATTGTTAATAGAGTTTTCGATTAATCAATTAAGTTCTCCGCTTGTAATAAAAGGTTCTCTTCAAAATTTAATATAAAATTAATCATACAAGACATAGATCTTTTAATTTTTCTGTTTCATCTGTTTTTTTTAAAGTTTATTATTATAAAGAGCTATATAAAAAAAAAACATCTGGATAAAATCGACGGTGAGATGATCGAATTATGGATGTCTCGATAGCTTACTATGAATATTTTGTGTTCTTTTCATGTAACTTTAACGAATAAGTTAGATTCAATTGCCCATATTTATTAATTATATTCTGATCAAATGTTTAGTGTTATTTTAAAAACAAAATATAACATTGAATAGAACAAATAAAGTTCTACATTTTGATAAAAAAACAAAGAACTCCTGTATGTTGTAAAATTTCACATATATGATATGTTCAAAAAGTCAACTGATTCTCTTGCACATTAACTAGAAAAATCTTACGTTTCTTTTAATTTGTTATTGTTAGATTAGATAGTTTGAGTTTTACGTCACAACAAACATTGAAGAATAGTATCACACATATATTCCTTTAAAACAATTGATAGTGATTGAATCTTATTATATAGTAGTCTTCCACAACTCGCAACTGCAACATATGTAAATATGAAGTGACGAGCTGTTTGAGCTTTGGAACATATCTTATTTTGAAAGTTTCTAAATAGCAAAGTACTTATATAAGACTAGATTTTTTATATAAGAATTCAGAGTTCTTTTTTTATATGTCGTAATCTTTAATTCGATCTATTCTACTTGCTATACAACCTGTGTAACAATAGATAAGAGAGTAAGATAAGCTTTTTTTTCAGTAAGTTATATTTTAGAAATTTTTCAACACAATAGAGCTCATTTGAGATTAATCTTCTTTATTAACATGTAGAGTGTTTCTTGCTCTATTTAATATTTTACTTTGTTTTAGAAGTAAAACTAAACCGTTGATCAGACTATAGTTAATAAAAATCGCTTATTTTATCTGATTCTTTCGTTATATTAAGATTGTTTTAAACATCATTTTTAAAGGAGATCCTGTTTTATGATCATATGGTGTTTGGAAATATCAATGAATAAATTAGATGAATTTATCGTTTTCCTCTCTATATCTTGTTATTATGGTATGTTCATGACCGTATCATGTATTTATTAAAGCTGAAGTCTTTTATGCAATCTTTGTTTTGCTGTAATTAATTAATGAACTCTTATTTAATAGAAACGAAACATTGTACCTAAACAAATAGGTTCTCCATCAAATATCCTTTTGAAATATACATCGAAGAGATAGAATGATGAGCAATGTGAACTAGATGAGGGTTAAAAGTATGCTTTTTATCTAAGTGTTCTTTACGGATAGCTTCTAGGAATTATTCTTGAAAAACGACTATCCTGAACTATTAAAGCATAAAATGTAAGCAAAGACAGCAAGAATTTCTGTTTTTAGAAGGAAGATAGATTATCTTTTAGATTTTTGACGCACAAAAATTTATATGAGAGAAGATCTTTCTAGAACGTTTGTGTACTCTAAAACATCACAGAAGATTTGGGATCTTTGAATATGAAGATGATAGGACAAGCGTCTTCTAAAATATTGAAAAGGGAAATAATCACGGAAAACTGGATCTTTTTTTCCAATGAAGTAAGAAAAATCATTTTTAAAATAAGAATATTATAGAATCAATAAGTGATTGAATACAGACTAAGTTTATCATGATTTGTTTTATAAAACGGCTTTCTTAGTCCTTCGACACAGTGGGAAGCCAGGAGGACATATGCGAAAATATTCTTTTCCACAATCTAACTGTTTGCGTAGGTACATACATATGTGACCCATCATTTCCTAAAATAGCGGTTCTCAAAGTTTTATAAAGATCTAGAAAAGAGCCTGACAAGGCTTGGGCCCAGAAAACGGCAAAAATAAAGAAAGTCAAGCCGCTCGATAAGATAACATGATATTCCACAAGCAAACAATACCGCGAAAAACTTGCTCACCTATGGACTTTATGTTAAAAAAAAGTTATTGTAATCCAATTTAAAATCAGGTAGAAAACCACGAGTCTTTATACGGAAACCCTACCGGAAAACTTGCCATGCCGTATTTTGAAAACCCTACAAAGAGATAACGTCTGATTGAGCGTGCATTTTTACCAGATATATGTATATATGTATCCTAATTACTGTAGTAGCGCCAAATCTTGAAACATTTCCTAGGCTATTTTAGACGATGCCCAAAGATCCGAGGTTTCCGAGCGAAAGCTCGGTTTTAGACATCCATGCTACACTTTGAAGGAAAGCTAAGGTGATATTCAGAATCAGATCGTCGAGCTGCATTAAGCCATATATATAAAATATGTTTTAAAGAAACTTTTGATCCATTTCCAACGCAGATCCAGGCCCGAAACCCTGCCGTTTCGGACTTTGAAAACCCTACGAAAAGATTACGTCCGATCGAGCTGAAAATTTTACTAGATACGCCTGGACATGTATCCTAATGATGGTAGTAGCGCCAATTCATGAAAGTTTTACTAGGATATTCTACAGAATTTCCAAAAATCCATGACTTTGTATCAGAAATCCGGTTTTAGACACCTATGTTATACTTTGAAGAAGAACAAAAGTGATATTTGGAATCAGCGCATTAAACTACATCTAATTACATGTAGCTCAACATGCTTTTACAAAAAACATTTTTTGAAAAAAAAAAAGCTGGGTGCCCCTCCCCCCAACCATATTTCGTCGAAAAAGTTTTCTCTTGAAAAACCCTTTTATTTTCTTAAAGACGATTTTCTGAGTGGTATACTGTCATTACTAGTCAAATGAAAGCCAATTGTGAGCAAAAAACTGCATACCCGCCTGCTTATGCTAAAGCTCCCCACAGAATTCTGTGCACATACTCGACAGAATTCAAACAAAGAAAACTCAAAAGTGAAGGAAAAAAATAATTTTACGATCGCTATCGACCCTAACGATGCTATCTTTTTTATTCCTCTACTTCTTACTGGTTAGAAGTAGTCTAGACTAATGCAATGGAAAAGAATTAGAGAATGAAACCCAAGCAGACAGCCAACTGTTGATTGTGTATGAGAAAAAATTTCTCAACCTGCTATGTAAAAAAGATAAGGTTTGTTATTGATTTTTTTTCTATCTTCTTAACTAACTTGTTCATTAATGCTTAACCAGTGGCACTAAATAGAGTGAAAATTGGAAAAAAGAAACATGACAAGATTGTTCTCATTCTGTGATTTTTCTAAGTGTTACGAAAGGTATAACAAGGTAAAACTAAAGACCAACCAAAATACATGTGACATCATTGACATCGTGTCCAATGAAATTCCTCCTTGAATTCGTGTTTATAATTATCAATAAAGATTATGTCTATTATAACGGCATATAGATGAATAGAGAGTGAAATACATAATTTTCCATTGATTTAGTCAAAACTTAGTGTGAAGAATTATTTGTGTTGCTAACAAAAAAAAAAGAGAACATTATCTGCTACTATTTGTATTGATTATTGATCTGTTTTTTTTAATCATTTATATCTGTAATAAGATAATCATATTCAAAATTATATTTACTCTCTTTTTATTTATATAATTGTATTTTTATTCAAATATTGAAGACATACTTAGTCCCATATGTTTATAGAATTACGCTAGATTTAACAAAAAATTCAAACATTAGTTACAATGATTCCTGCAACCGATAATCGACTTTTATTTATTCTTGATTTATTACCTAAAGAAATAGTCTATACTATTTTTGACTTTCTTTGGGCTGATGACATTTTTTATTCATTTCTTAATATTAGTAATGGTTTTAATAATATTCTCTTAATTTATCAGAATTATCATGTTAATTTCAAATCAATCTTAAAACCCAAGTTCGATTTAGTTTGTCGTTTTATTCAACCAAATCAAATTACATCACTTGTTTTATCTGATAGTAATGAAACTCCAGGTCAATCAAAAATCTTTTTATCACTCTTTCCTATTGAACAGTTCATTAATCTTCGTGCAATTACACTATGTGACATTGAAAATGATAGTCATTCACTTTTCATTAATATTCGTCAGCTAAAATATCTTCGTTATTTTGAAATAGATACATTATCTCATATTTGGATGATTGAAACAATGTCTCAACTCAAACGACTCATAGTAAATAAATATGTTGACAATGATTATAATCATGAAATTTTACTTTATTCTATTTCGTTTTCTCATTTACGCAGCCTTACATTACCTTATTGTTCATACGTTCAATTACGTCATATTCTTTGTTGTGCCCCTAAACTTACTTCACTTAATATTTCATTGATTATTTCTGATTGTAGTGGTATTGATTATTTTTCTGAACAACATCAAGAGACACCTCTTATTATTAATCATCTCACAATGTCCATTCAAACATTTAGTAAGTTGAAAAATAATTTGTCAAACTTTTTCTAAAATTAAATAATCAAAATCCATTACTTTGTTTGATTCGAACATTGTTTCATCTGTTCTTATTTCAAAGTCTTATTATTTATTAAATAGATTTTAAAAAAAACTGTTAGGACAATCCCTGTCAGAGATAGAATCGATTCGTATTTTTCTTCGATTCCAAGCAATCCTATTTCTGATTCACAAGAGATTAAAATATGAAAGATGATCTAATAGCCCTTGTTAATCAAAGATAGATAGTTTTATTCGATCTATTTTGGTAAACATTTGTTCGCCATTCTTTTAATTAATTCTCGAGAAATGCAATGAGGAATTGTGGAACGGTTCAAATTTTTATCTCTCTAGTTCAACACTTGTTTTAGATCATATTTCGTAAAAAGATTCATTTTAAATTGAATTATATTTCTTTTTTTTTTTTATTGCTCGAACTATTTCACGACTTCTATTCGAACGATTTCTTTCACGTATGCCTTATCTTCAACAGCTTGAACTCATTGTTTCTTCTGGTGGAAGTAGCAATTTATTAGAAGGAAATCAATGGGAAATATTCATTAAAAAACATTTGCCTTTTCTTTCTATGTTCAATTTCAAATTTCAAATAATAAATATTGATCGAAATAATTACAATGAAAAGAATATTCTCTCGCAATTTTCTAGTTCATTTTGGCTCAATAGAAATCCAACATGGTATGTGGCGTATAATATTGATGATTTTATTCTTTATACTGTTCCTCGTTTTGCTCCACGTACAATAAAACATTCTTTATTATCAATTTTACCACATTCAACAACACTTCCTGTCAAACAATATTTTATTTATTACAATCAGATAAATGAACTAGAACTTGATTCAAATGATAAATCATCTTATCGATACGGAAATGTTACACAATTGATATTGTCCATAACAAAGATTGATGAAAGTATAATCGATCTTTCTAAAGTGAAATATTTATGTGTAAAATCATTATCATGGTCATTGAAGAAACTTTTTCGAATTATTAAAACATCAATGACTTGTTTATATCATTTAAAAATTGATTTTAATTTTTCTATGGTACAACTTTCTGATATTTATCCACTAGAACAGATTCGTATATTGGATTTGCCTCAGTTTTCATGTTCGTTCAATAATAACAATATTGAGTTATGTTCCATTTTTCCGTGTGTAGAACGTTTAACAATCGGAATCAGTAGTCTTCACCAAATGTCACATATAATTGATCAATTTATAAATTTATCAAGTGGATCATTTCATATTATGAACGATCAGGGTGATATCAGCCATACATTAACTGAAACTGATACGGTATACAAATGGCTCATAGAAAAGACGAATCGTTTGGCAATAGACCGTAGGTTCACTTATCGACTAGATTCTCAGTCTGATATTTGGATACATCTATGGATTAGTAGTGAAAATATACCACCGGAAAAAGTATCTTATAATTATCTTTTTTTTTTATGTTTCAAATAATTTTGTTTCCTTTTCGAAGGTATTAAACAAAACGTTACCAGACAAACAGATAATGGAACTGAGAGAAACTAGTGGACAATGTGACAGTTCACAATGTTGTTTACTGCTGTAGCGAACAAAGCACGAAACAAAGTTAGAGAAGTTACTGAATGATCATTTTGAAAACACTTGTCTTTCAATAATTATGAACTAGATGTGAAAAGCTGTGAAATTCAATTACACTTCATAACTTAGAATCTTGATGAACCAATCATATTCACTAATGCTATTTCGTTAAAATTATTAGAGAAAATATATTTTTCCAAAAATATAAAACATATCGATCCTCTTCAGTTTATTTTGTTCTTCTTAATTATCTTTAATGATACAAAAACAGAGCAGAAATTTCAATAATATTATCTCTCATGTATTAGCCTTAGAACAACTTCAACTGATTGATATTGGTAGGACTTTCTGCAAGTAATATTAATTATTATTCACTAATTTCAAAATGTGTCGTAGAGTACGATGGCATTTGAAAACGCAGTTCGACTTTAATCTCCAGTGTGTCTGTCAGTTTTTCCTGCGGAAGTGAATACTTACTACTGTTCTAATTTAACTCGAAGTAGTAACGTATTTTGTTTGGATCACGTCGGAAAGATTTTGAGATCTAATTATATTGAATCTTGATTACAGGTCTTCAAGACACTCTGTTTTCGGTCATCAATTGATCTTTCAATGTACTCTGGAAATAATGGCTCATCGAATTTTCTCATCACTCAATGTTTAATAAAGCAAAAATTTTTCACTTAATTGAAAAGACCATTATGTTAACAAAAAAAAAGTAAATTGAATAGTTAATTGATAAACAAAACTCGTCAAATCAATTGCAACACTAAAATCTTCAGCTACATGGAATAGTTTTAGTTGTATTTATGTCAGCGAGATCAAGTAAGGATGTGTTCGATGCAATCAATGTAAGGAGCTGCGGATTTACATGTTTGTGCACCAGAGTCCGAAAGGACCCACAGCTAGAGCCCGTCGGGTACAACATTTTTGGACCCGGACCCGTACCCGAGTCCGCTTTGTTGAACTTTTCTTGGACCCGTAACCGGTCTTTTAAAAAAAATTTCAGAATCGGACCCGGACCCGGTAAATAGAAAAATTTTGAACCCGGACCTGATCTCGTCTGTGCCTAAAACCAAAGCAACATGTTCTATTGAACGCAAACAATTTATTTTCAACACTAACAACCAAGAGCAACTAGCTCTTCAGAGAAAACTGAAGATCAGTAAAACTTCAAAAAATATTCTCCTATGCATCAAAAATTGCTTTGGACCCGGATCCGCTTTATAGAAAATTTCTAGAGCCGGACCCGGTAAAAATTAAATTTTGAACCCGAGCCCGACCGGGTACGGGTTCGAGTGCGGGTCGGACCCGACGGGCTCTACCCGCAGCTCTATAATAGCTTTGCAAGCAAAACATAACGATTAGTGAATGCTTATCAAAAAGACTGACAACGTATTTTTGTGATAGAACCTGAGACACTATTACAAGCGACATGTTTTATTTTATTATACACTAGCTCTCTTTCATGTTACCTATATATATATAATCAACAAAAAAATAATAGTTTTCGCAAATGTTGGATTCTTCGAATCCTATCCATCTTAATATTCACTGTATTTCAGAAAAGCAACAAACTTAATTTTCATAGTAGTAATCATAAAATTCGAACAAATAAATATTGCGAATTGTATTTTATTGGCATGATGATTATGATTCTTAGTGTAAGAAAAAATTCATCACAACTTTTGAGTAAAAACTAATTACGTATTACTGTATAGAAAATTATTTTATATTAACAAATAAAACATAAACTTTGAAAATAAGAAAACATTCGATTACTAATCATTGTTCGTCTTTTCAGAGTCTTTATTTTTTTTCGAACTAAATAAACGTCGAAATATTCCGACTGATTGACGATGTATATATTGTCGAAGAATTTTATCTTCATTCGATTCATCGAATGGTTCTAATTGATCATTATCTTGAATTTCCATCCAACCATAAATTTTATGTTTATCATCAATATAATAAAGACCATTTTCAAATCTTAATGGTTCTCGACGAGCATAATCACCTGGCCAATAATTATATAAATTATTCTGTTCAGCAATATGAACATAACCTGGTACAACATCAGTAATTATAGCTACATGTCCAAAAGGCATCATTCGACTACGAGTATAAATAAGTAATGAATCTTTTTTTGGTGGTTCTGATGAACCATTAGCAACTGAACGTAATGAAAATTGTTGACCGTCGGTAACTCGTTCAATATGTGGTACATCACTCCAAATATTACAAGCAGATGAAATTTCTCGAAATATACAACTTTTACGCATTAATAGCCATCGACGAGCAAATTCCACACATTGCCATTGATAACCAGTGTAGATCCCATGAACATAATGACTACCTATTTTAAATATACTACTATTTCTATTTGAATAAGCTGGAACATTTGTTGATGCAATTCCTTCAATTTCATTGAATGGAACATGATTATTTGTTGTACGTGCCATTGTATATTTTCTTTAAAAATAAATAAATAAATAATTTCAAGAAAAATAAAACAAATTAACGGAATCTTCTCAAGATTAAAACAATGAATTGAATGTTAATCCCGTGTTATTCATGTCCTCATGTAGCATAAAATTTCATTTATCTATCTGAAGATAAAATAATGGCTTATCTCTGAGAACTTATGATTCGAAAGCATACACTATTCAAAAATACAATTCAATTGAATATCCGCAAAAACTACTTTAATTAAATTCATATTCAGATACACTTAAAAACAAAAATAAAACACTGATAGTTTTAAAGTAAAATATCAAAAAATATATATTTTTGTTTTTAATAACGATCATTCTTTATTTTGTCTTTTGTATACATACATACTGCGACTTGATCAATCACTGATTTCTATTGGTTTGTTTTTATTTAATCGTTTTTCTTCATTAATTCTATTTAATGTAAGTGTAATATTACATAGTCAAAATGCATTTCTTCAGAGATATCCAAAAGAACTGATGCAGAGAAAAAAAAAAGTAACAGTGACAATGCATTTTTTATCATGTATGACTCATATTCTTTCTGTTTTGCATCGCCATAGCGAATGAAGTACAAACCACATAATAAAACTAAAATGATTGTGTTGAAGAGATGACACTGACTCATTTTTATTTTCACTGATAGTTTCAAACTTTTTTGATCTGACTTTTTTAATTTTAATTAAAGTTTGAATAAATATCTCAATATATAGTTTTAGGTTAAAATTATTTTCTTTTGAAGATTATTTAGTGTATTAATTTTAGATTTTTATAAAAGTTCTATTACAATTTTTATCATATTAATTACATTATACACTATGAAAATAATGTGTTGAAATCTAATCCCAAAAAAAACAAAATTCTTGGAGATTAAGGAATTTATGATAATAGTTGTTTTTTTTTCTTCAATTGATCTAATTCATATTTAATAATAAATATATAGCAAAAAACTGTTAGTTTTTCATTGACTAAAATCTATTAAGTACTTAACGTTCAAGGAACCTTAACATTAACGAAATTAAGATATTTTTATAAAGTTTATATACATGAATAAATATTTCATATGTAAAACTATCCTGCAAAATCAATTATAATACTTAATTAGTCATTTTGAGCATCTAAACTTTGTTTAGTGAATTAATAGATAAAATAAATCATCATAAATAGATAAGGAGATGTACCGAATCTTCTTAATTTTAAGTTCTTATTTTAATAGAGTATAAGAAATTTTCTTTGAAAAAATTTCTCTAACTCTCAACTCTTTGTCAACGTCATACTCATTATGAATTAATCAAATTACATAAATAATGAATATCAAAAGATTGTTCATTTCGCAAGTCTTTTTTCTATTAATACCAAAAAATAAAGACGATAAATTTATTTCAACATGTATACTGAAATTATGAAATTGTTCAATGAGAGACTTTTAGGGAGTCAGTTTTTTTCTACTTCTATTAACTTGATTTGTCATGTAATTTGTTTCTTTCATCCATTGGAACATTCAATGAAGAGGTCGCGCTTTAATGGAAATTTTATAAGAAAAAAATATCCAAAAATGAGTTCCTATCCCTAAATGTACGCTCAAATATTTATTTAATAACTTTTTTTCAAGACATGATACAAAACTCAAGAATACAATTCTACTTACGTGTCTTAATAACACATCCTGGACTCGATCTTCAAAATCACATTAATTGTTGATATTAGAAATACGATCGAGTCCAAAAATTTGCACTCAGAAGATTTTACTTCATCAGATAAATGAAATAATAAAAACAAAAAAAATCTGATACCGATATTTAAGATAGTAAGTATTGTAAAGATCATTTTATTTTCGTTTGTATTTAACTTTGTAATTTATATGAGAACTTTTCTATTGCACATCATATAAGTATTTAAAATGATCATTCAAAATAATTATAAAACAAACAAAAAATAGAATATTATGTTGAAGTTTAATGCGCTTAATATAAAAAAAGATTATGTGCATATTGTGAAACCGTTTTTCAGAACTATTCATATCGATCTATATTTGACAATATGGATTAGAATCAGCCGAACATTTTTGAATACTCGGAAGATATTATTTTCCTTTATGCTAACTCAATATAAAACGAATGACTCATTTCAAAGAATTCAAGATTTTTCATTTTATATTGGATTTAGCAAAGATTTCTTCTCTATGAAAGTAATTTTTTTCGACTGTAGACATAAATAATAGTTTTCAATCGAGTTTAAAGAAACGATTCTGTTTAACTAATTGATACCAATTTGATATTCGGCACTTTCTTAACATATTTTCAATTTGAAAAATAAAGCAGTTATGGTAATACAATTTATCAGCGTTTATGAATAAGTTTTAGAATGTGATAGTAAGTTATGATATTCTTTATGGAAATAAAATTATTCAAAAGATTTTTATATATCTACGTTAACAATATGATAAAGTTGAAAGGAAATACTAATGTTTTCTTAATGAAAACAATTTCACATAATTATCTATAAATAGGTTTTCGTTTTCTCACTTGATTATGACTAAGTAAATATTTATCAAAAACAAAAAAATACGCACACAGAATATTAGTCAGTAATACAAAGAAAAAATAATAAAATATCTGTTGCCTGGATATTTCGTCAATAACAAATGTTATGATTCATTTTAGTATATTTTTCAAAATGAAAATAAAAATAAAGAAATCCAAGCTGTTCATAAATCCACTGACGAGGGTATTTGTCTACGTGTTAAATCGCTTTTTTTGATCGAGACGATGTTCATTTGATGAATACTCGTAAGTAATAGAAAAGTCTAGAATGGTTTGATTTTCGAAGTCTTCGTTCTTGATATATCGAAGTTTTATTGGCTTTTTCTCTCCCAAATTACGTGGAAAACTGATTTTTGAGTTTCGACTTCAAACTTTGCATGAACAAAGTTCTTAATCGGATTAATTCATTGGGCAAGTTGTAACTTTCCTAGTATCTCTTATCCTGAGATATTCAAAAGTCTGTCATATATAAAAGGAAAATTTGTCCATATATTTTCATGTCCACTAGCAAAGCTAAAACTTGCACAATCAATTGATCTCATTAATAATTTTGTTCATCCGAAGTTCGAAGTCGAAAATCAATTTTCGACATGATCTAGGAGAATCACCACTTTTTATTCAAAGTTCGGTAAAGTTTCGATATCTGGAAAGCGAAGATTCAGAAAATCAAACTATTCAAGACTTTACTATTAGTCAAGGATACTCATTAAATGAACATAGTTTCGATTGAACAGCAATTTGATACCTAGAAAGATTCCTTCGAGAGTTTTATTCAATGAAAACTTTGGTATGAAAAGTAGCATTTCTATGTACTTCTTCGATACTTTTTGCTTGGTGGTAGATAAACTTAATTGTAAAAGAAATCTTATTTGATTCGAATTTCTATGCTATGATAAAGGATGTATCATGCAAAGTTATTTTTATCGAAAAATGGTATAACACCATTGAAAATTAGCGCTATAGAGTAAAAAATAAAAAAACAAAGCCCAGACATCACATTGATCTATATGCATTTTTTAAACATAATAATCTAAAAAAGAAATCGAATTTCTACGAAGGGAAATCCTCTCATGTATCTGATCGTTGGACGCTTAAAAAAAATCAATCTACAAAATTTTCATTTGCGATAAAATTTTGCCGAAATACATTTGTTCTAATTAATCAAATTGCACTTTGTAGAGTTCTCATTTTAATTTCACTGTTCATAAAGAGATAACAATGCCTTGTGGAATAGAAAAGAATTTTAACACAAAAGAACTAGTCATTTATGTTATGTGCAAACCAAAATTAAACTTCAGTTCAACTCTGACATTCAAAAGTCGTACAATTTAGTATTTAGCAATTTGAAATTCCTCAATCTTAACATATTTCACATTTAATCAGTCGGACAAAGCGGGTATAGTGATAAATTTATTTCGAAAGTATTTTAGAGATTACATTAGTTATTATTAAATGAATATTAAAGAAAAAAAAACTTTCAGTAGATACTGGCAACTGCATAATATGGTTTGATTAGTGTCACTAATACGACTATGACCCTTCTGTATCCTTTTGCAAATATGTCAAAAATTTTAACTGTTGTTATCCCTTTTTTTAGTGATAATTTTATCTTTGAGTTATAAAAAAAAATATATTTGAATTACGGTATTACTCATTGTAGGTTTTATATCTAAGAGTAAATAATAAGTCATTTTTGTTACTCAGAGCAACTGTTTTTCAGTTATAAGGTTTACGTTGCGATAAAAAAAGTACCTATATAAGAATGATTAAATAAATGCTACTAGATCAAGACGACAACAATAGAATCATCAAGTCTTAATAATATAGTTTTTATTCAATGTTTTGTACTTTATTGGTACATTAAATTATGTGGAAATGTATGATTTTTCAAATTTATGTTTTATGGTTTGTGATCGGCAAATGCAATAGCATTTCAAGCTTGATCCCGCCATACACCAATTACACACACTCAATTGAACTTCAAACAAATGTAGCTGATCTTTGGTGGACAACGGATGATGTTAAACAAGAGATCATCTTTGAATTGCATATTCAAACTACAGGCTGGATAGCATTAGGAATAAGTCCAGGTAAAATATTCTCAAAATTTCTTTATTCGACTAACTAATCAAATATTTAGCTGGTGGTATGAGAGGAGCGGATATTGCTATCGGATGGGTTGATTCTTTGGGTAAAGTTACTATTCAAGTAGATGATATATTACATGAATTATATTTATATGTATACATATTTAATTTTGTTTTAGGATCGATATGCATCTGGTAAATCGAAGCCAATGATTGACAACACAACTCAAGACTGGTTTGCTTTACAAGGTCGTGAACAAAATGGATGGACAGCTATTCAATTCAAACGTTTATTTGATACATGTGATAATATGGATTATCCAATTAAGGTAAGAGATATGAGTATTACTTATCCTATCGACTATCATTTATTTCAAAAAAGAATGCTAGTGTCTGTTTTTTGAATAACTTATGATAGAAGCAATGAAGAGAGCTTGAGTTAGTACATAAAGAAGAGTTTGCAAACGAGATTGCCAAGTCATTTCTCATTAGATTTTGACGTGTAATATAATAGATCAGTAGAGTAGAGAAAAGTCTTCTCTTTCAATCTACATAAACCTCAATTGCGTCACCGGTTCTGCTCAAGAATTAGAAAGATTTTCTTGGAATTCTTCGATTTCGCCTTGACAGGCATTAAAAATAGCTCCATATTCGACTCAGCGCGATGAATTATCCTTGTCCGCAATTCTTTTGAAGCCTTCCAAGGTCAAGTAGCTAAAATCGGAAGACTTCAGGAAAACTCTTCTAACTCTTGAACGCAGATGGTCATAAAGTTGAAGTTTGCGTAGATCGGAAGAGAAGATTATCTTCTATCGATTGATCATATTACATACCAAAATCTAATGGAAAATGACTTCAGAATCTCGTTTTTCAAAATCTTTGTTCCGAATTCATTTGATTGGTTAATTGCTGCTCAATTGAATTTAGATAGTCCCCAATGTTCGCTCTTGAATGGTGAAAAGCTCAATTTTTTCCATCGTTCCTATCAAGATTTATTTAAAAATCAATCACCATGATTCTTTTTTTGAAAGATAATAATTTTGTTTCTTCTGACATATAGTGGGGAACGAATAATTTAATCTTTGCTTATGGTCTTACTGATCCTGATCCAAGCCGACCTGACGGTGATATCACATATCATAATACTCGTCGAGGTTCTCGTACAATTCCACTTCACTCATACAATGATCCACCGTCAGAAGACAAATTTGCCGGTCTAGACAACTTTGAATGGCGCTTGAATAACGTAAATACTTTCATCAGATTTGTCATTGACATTAGCAATTTATATCTATTTCTACTTAGTATCTTGTTCCTTCGAATGACACAACTTATCATTGTAAAATATACAAGACACCAAGTGGTTTTACAATAAAACGGCATGCTATAGCAGTAAGCTTTCGTAGAAGTATTTCTTTTCGATTTTATTTTTTTATTCTCTAATTATTCATTATAGCATAAAATTTTAATTGATTCATCTAATTTGGATCTTGTACATCATTTACTCTTATATGAATGCGATCCTACTATTATCTTTGATGATGCTAATTTGCCAGATGGTTTTTGTGATGATCTTTCAGATAAAACAGAATTGTGTTCGTCGAATATTGCAACTGGTTGGGCTGTAGGCGGAGATTTCGTAAGTAGAAAAAATGATCATATGAATAAAAATGATAGAAAACAATATCTATTTAATTAGATTTTAGAATTTCCAGAAGAAGCTGGATATCCACTTGGTGGTGATTTTCCTATTAAATACTATATGATTGAAATGCATTATAATAATCCAAACTTAAATTCAGGTAGAATTTGTATTTTCTCTGTTTTTCATATGTAATTAGATATTTTGTTTTAGGTCGTCGAGATAGTTCTGGTATTCGATTTTATCTTAGTAATCAACTTCGTCAACATGATCTTGGATTTTTAACCTTTGGAACATCATCAAATCCTATGGCTCTTGCTATTCCTCCTCAAGTTGATGAATTTATCGTTGACTCATACTGTCTGTCTAATTCTACTCGAGTATGAAATATGATGGAAAAAAAAACTTCCTTTTTTTTTTCATTTTCATAATTCTTCAATTATTATTAGACATTTCCAGAATCAGGTATCACAGTAACATCTGCATTTCCACATACACATTTGCAAGGTATGATTGCTTTTTTGTATGATGAATAGAATAAATTCAATAAATTTTGCTTTCATATAGGTAAAAGTGTATGGACTAAATTAATTCGTAATGATACAGCTGTTCAATATTTATTTAATGCCGATGCGTTCGATTTTAATTATCAATTTCATAATCGTCTACCAAAACCTATTAAACTTTATCCAGTAAAAAACAACAAATTTTTCAAATCTATATCATACTTTTCTATTTGTCATAATTCAACTATATTATTTAGGGTGATGCATTTGCTACTCGATGTATGTATCAGACCATGAATAAAAACGACATTACATTAGTAAGAACAGAATAATGTAATAAGAAAATTTATTCTTATCAAAAATATATATATTTTTAGGGAGGTCAAAGAACAAAAGACGAAATGTGTCTTCATATGTTTATGTATTATCCTCGAATGAATAATATGTATTTATGTGCAACAATTAATCATCCTTTAGCATGGCAAAAGATAATGAATGCATCGGCGTATGTGTTAGATAATATCAATCGTATTTTTTTCATATATTTTTCATGTTCACTTTCTTAGGCCCCCAAGTTACAGTATACTAAGACAATGGTTACGTAATTTGCAATGGACATCTGAATCAACTGTTCAATGGCAAGAATTCTATAATAATGCTACACGTCTATTGTTTTACGGTCGATCAGGACAATTTCAGAATCAAATACTTCAAGGCATTCCAACATATAAAGATTTACAACCTGATATATGCCCAAATTCGACTGGATATCAACAAACATTTAGTATTGTCTTAATATTTGCTCCTTTTTTAATGAAAATATTTTATCTGTAATAATTGAAATGAATTTCAGGAACAATTTTGTATTTATTTTTGTTTCAAAATTTCTTCATTGAAAAGATTCTTTTAAAGAATTCGGATTCTAATAAACATTTTTGTACAATGATACGATGAATAAATATTTGTAAGCAACCGTTGAAAATCTGTATCTTTTATATCGATCAATCGAATCGGAAGTCAAATATCAATCAATTAGATTATTTAGTGACAAAGAAAAAAAAAAGCGTTTATCAAAACTAAAAACTGAATATCTAATTTATCTTTTAATTCGATGAATGTTTGCTATGTATATTAGACAATAAATGAAAGAGTGGATGACGGTTTTCAGAGGAAATCAACACAATCGAAAAGATGATGACAAAAATTATGGTTTATATATTTTAAATGATTTTAGTATACATAGGAAAATTCTTGATTACTAAATTTTATACGTGTTCTTTGACGTATGTGATTGTCACTTAATGCAATCTAAATAAATGATATATCGATAGATAGGCCATGAAAAATATTTCATAAGCCTATATAACATTTATTTATCAAAAATGTGAATAAAACAAGTTCTGATTGAAATACATGTTGAATATCATGAAAGTAAGGTGCTACCATTAAATTTAAGTAGTCGAATGCACTTAACTAGAGTTTACTCACTCCGAATTTTATAACAATCGATAGATTTTTTCACACGCAACAAATTCATACATAATTTGTCAAGAAACAAAGCTGCAAACATGTTCGAAGTCAAGAAAGTTTTGTTCAGATAGGCAAAAAACGGCATTTTTTTGGCCCGTATTTAGAATCAGTATAACAAATAGCGTTGATCGAAGTATGTTTCAAAGTTTTTTTGATAATCTTTGTTCTGGGTCAAAATTGAAGTCTCTAGCTCCCCCTCAGAGTTCTCGCAAAAACTAAGTTGAAAAATAAAAGTCGTCAAAAAGGCTTGAAACATAAATTGATCGACATTATTTTTTATATTGATCCCAAATATACGATTCATTTTACAAGAAAAGATGGTTATTATAGAAAAAATTGTTGAATACAGGTCGAAAAATCAATTTCTTACCTGTCTGAACAAAACTCTCTTCACTCCAAACATGTTCGTAGCTTTTCTTACTTACAAGTTATACATAGACTTGTAACCTGTAAAAAGATTTATTGATTGTCATAGAACTCAGAGTGAGTAAACTTTAATTCAGTGCAGATGACAATTTATACTAGGTGTTTCTGCCTTACTTTAATAGTATTCAACAAGTATTATAAAATGAAAATGTTTTTTTTAAACCTTTTTGATAAATGATTTTTATGTAGACTTTTTAAGTATTTTTCACAGTAGTGTAAAGTTTGATAATTAAGGATTTTCCTATGTAAACAAAAATTATTTAAAAAATATAAGTTATAGTTTTTCTATAATCATGTTCTTTGTTTCTACACGAACAGAATATTAAAATTCAATTGAGTTGATATCCCAACCAGCCATCATCCGTTCTTTATTAAGAATAAAAATGTATGTTTTAGAAATAAAAAGTAAAAATTACAGTTTCATCTGATTTTATTGAACCAATATTTGTTGTTGATATTGTCCATTAATTAATCGTAAACCACTAACTAAACCAGTTTGTTTGTTACGTATTAATATATCTTGAGTAATTTCAATTATTCCAGAATTATTTTGTTCATTATCGAGTTGACGTAAATCTTCGATTACACGTTGAGTACCATAATAAGCATGTCCTACTACATCATCTTTGAATCCATGACCTAAGGTAACACATTCAATGTCATTAACAAACATTGTATGACCTTGATCGAGAGCAAAATTATAAACTTCTTCACAAGATATTTCAGTGGGAGCAGAAACAAGTGAACAAGGCATAATCCATTGGTTATTGACACGAATGGGATGCCAAGCAGTGATGATAAGACCATTGTCAAGCTAGAAAATAAAAATTGAAGTATTCAATTAACAAATTAATATTTTCTTTTTTGTATAAAAAAATTGCAGATAGAATAATATGACACTTACTACAACCATCTTTGCTTTATTAGTTTGACATTTTGTTTTAATAACATAATTGACCACTCCACCATGTGGTGCTATTCTATCACCTGGTAGAACATTTTTTATCAATTTAGTAGTTCCATTCATTAAACGTACTGTACATTCACCATAAAAACATCCACCACTAGCATTATGAAAGACTGACATATCTATTTGAACACCAGGTTTTTGTGAAGGTTTTGGAGCAGGCAAAGAACAGAATATAGTATCCATTTCATCACGTATTGTTGAAAAAAGGCCACCTCGTCCATAATTTTGTATGCCTGGATCTTTAAAATTGTTACAATATTGAAGAAGATGTGCACCTAAAAAGAAAAATTTATCGATAAATAATTTTGTCAAATTTTGAAGAATCTTTTTGAATAATTTTAATGCACTTACGAGTTATACTAGGTAAAAAGTGTACACCCCATTTTTTAAACCAATCTGCATTTGTGAGAGCTTGTTGTACTTGTCCAGTTAAATCTGACAATAAATCTTTAACAAATTGATCATTTTCATCCGCATATGTTTTCATTTCTTCTTCTAATTGTTTAAGTCGATTCATTGCTGCATCAGATTGTTCGTTTGTAGTCGTTGAATTGTTCGGTTGTGGACGCATTGCTTCTAATGCAGTTCGTACACAATGAACAAATTGAAGTCGAAATTTATTTTGAGCTACTAGATGAAGATCAGCTTTTGGAGGATTCATATTAATATCGAATTTGATTGATTTCTTTTTTTCTTGTAATGTATCGTAAATCAAAGAAAATTTGCAGTTAGAAAGTGATTGTGGAGGAAGCGGGATAAGCAAATCTTTGCTTTGACCATATGTAATTGAGCCCAAATCAAATAATGTATCATGATGAACAACCGCCATTGAATACCAGCGTGTATAATCAGACGGTTCAATTCGTTGACCATGAACACATATCTAAGGATAATATGGATGACATACTTTTAACTTTTTCTATTGACTTTTCACTTGATAAATTTTTATCTCGTTTTTAAGATCAAGATTAAAACTTGATTTTTCCATAAAATAAAAGAAGATTTATTCGAGTAGCTTTATTATTATTTTATGGAACACCATCTATCATGAGTGTTGAAGGATACGGGTAAAAAAAAGAACATGCTCACACTTTGTGACAGACACCTTAGCAACAGTACCCTCCCCTCCACCATTCGGCGTACAGAGCTCGTCGGATTGGTCTAGGATCTTGTCAGATCCGGGTCCGAAAGTTTTGGACTTGATAACCTCTAGTTGTCTGAGAAATGTGTAGAATGCACTAGTTCCCTACTACAAACAAAAAACTGGAAAAAAAGTATTCCGTATCATCTTCGGGATGACTATCAAATTCTGACTAGAAAATTTCATTGAGAGCAGCTAATTACGGTTTGATCAGATCCGACAATTTTGGTCTCGACAGGTGTATCCACGTCAGAAATTTTATATGAATAACGTCTGATTATAACATATGAACTATTTAATTATTGCATTTCTGCAAGACTATATAAATGGATGGTGAAAAAATGTATTCCAAATTAGATTGAACAAAATAATTTCCCTATAATCAGCAATAGAAACTACATCGTATTTCATATTTTAATTTAGCAAGAATTTGTACTAAGTGATTTTGTTCTTGAGTAGTTGTCTCTTAAAAAATTGAATCAATATTTTCTATGACATCGAAATGAAAAGAAAATCTATTAGCTCATGAACACATTAAGTTAAGTTCAACGTTAATTATTACCTGTACATTCGTTGCTACTGTGGCTAATAATGTACTCATAGCATTGACAAAAATTGTTCCTACAAATGATCCATCAGGAATAAATGCATATGAACCCACATTTCCCATTATGGCAATATCTTCAAGAAGTTTACTGTCTAAATCATATCCAAAACCAAAAGTATTGATCGTACATGTAAAATTAGTTTTTTTCTTCAATTTTTCCAGTGTTGGTAAATGACCACGTGGTGGTTCAATGTTAGGACAACCGTCAGTAAGAAGAAAGAGAGCCGCATTACTTCCAACAGTTCTTTGACCTTTCGACAGAATATCAAGACCAGTTCGAAGACCATCCCATAAATTTGTTTGACCAATGTCCTGGATAATAATAAAATTTTAATCATCTGTATAAAAATTATTTTCAATTGAGATTGTACGTGGAAATTTGATTATGAAACTGTTTTATTACGAAGTTTAGTATGTTTCTAACTTATTGAAAATGAATTGTATAAATATGATACACTTCTTTGAAAGTATTACTCTAGATTTTTCATGATCAAGTTCATCTCATTTTAAACGATTCTCAAAAGATTTTACAAATTGCTTCTATTCAATAGCAGAGCCCGTCGGGTAGACCCGGGCCCGGCTTCGGGTCCAAAAATTTAAACTCTATCGGTCTGGGTCGGGTTCCGGGTCTGGAAATTTTCTATAAAGTGGATCCGGGTCTAAAGCAATTTTTGATGAATATGCAAATATTTTGGGAAGTTTTACTGATCTTCAGTTTTTCTCTGAAAATCTACTTGCTTTTGATTGCTAGTGTTAAAAATAAGTTGTTTGTGTTCAATAAAACACGTTGCTTTGGTCTCAGACACAGACGAGATCGGGTTCGGGTATGAATTTTTTTTTAAAAACTGGGTACCGACCCAAAAGAAGTTCAACAGAGCGGGTCCATGTCCAAAAATGTTGTATCCAACGGGCTCTATTCAATAGTCGAATTTTCTATTGAGAATATCGATTCACTAGTAGTAGTAATCATGTATAATATTCAATATATCTCGAAAGTCAAGTTTGTTTTTCCAGATTTTCTCTAAATAAATATAGATCACGAACCTCTAATCTTTCCAAAGCAGCTAAAGCACTTGATTTTCCATCTTCATTCATTTTTGTTAATTTAAATAAAACTGTAGCACTATTTGCAAATGATACAAGTGATAAACGATCTTCTG